GAGCAAGGGGGATCACTTCTTCCAAGTGATTTAATTAGAATTATAGGCTGGGATAAAAAACCAGAAGGTCCCTGCCTTCTTCTTTTTAACATTTCCATATATTTTCTTCTTTTGGCTCTAGTCTTGCAAGCAGCCATTGCTTTGGGCAGGACCAAAGGCTGATCCTGCCCTGCATCTGCTTGGATGGTGACCTGTAGCCAGAACCATAGGGAAAAAGCATAAGAAATATGTCAAGCTTAAAAGGACCCTTCCTCTGTCATCTTCCATTAACCAGTAGTTTAGAATCTTCGTGCAGAGCTCACTAAAACTTTGAAAGTATCATATCAGAAGTATTGCTCCTATAGTTCACTGCTACTTGGAAGAGAGTTTTAAGAGAAGAATATATATAAATATGTATAAAGATCTGATCAGAGAAAGGCACCATCATACAGCTGCAGTAATTCTTGCAGTTCAAATACATGCACAAGCTGTCATATGCACAAATACTGATGTATTTCACCAGTCTGTAGGAATTACTGAAAATAAAAGCTCACAAAAATCCTATACAGAAGGAAAAATAGTCATGGTAGAGCAGCCCCAAAGTAGTGGAAGGGTCGTGCTCTAGAGGCACTCAAGCTTTAGCAATCTGGCTGCTGTCCCAGAGGGACTCATCACCCACACCACCCAGGTCAAACTGACAGCACAGATATCAGGGAAACTTCTCTCCCACGCACACAGCTATTAAACAATGATCAGTCTAGCTGCTTATCCAGAAAGATCCAAAAGATCTATCGTGTAAAATAAAACCTCATTGTTCCCAGCTTTTAATAACAGTTCTCTGAAAAGCATCTCTAATGATTGTGACCACACAGGCTTTATGGGAGAGCAAATCACAGAGGACAGACCATACATCTTTGTCCTGGGAAAAGCCATGGAGCATTTCTTCCTGGACCCTATGATCAACTGGAAAAGCAACTTTGGTTTGGGAGCAGCTGGAGAGAGAAAAGAAGAGGAGAATGTCACAAAGGTTTTTAAACCATAATTGCTATGAAAATGTTGTCTTAGAAGAATCTGCTTGCTACTTCCTGCAATGCAGCAGCTCTCAAATGCAAAAAGAGCTCCAGCACCACCAGGAACATCCAGAACCTCGTAACCATCTGGCTTAATGGTAATTCTTCCCTTTCCTTCCTCTGCCTCCTATGAACTAATGTCCTGGGGTTTCTGTGAGTGTTCACCCTAAAGCCTTCTCCAGCAGAATGTACTTATACAAACAGGAGCAGGCACATGCAAAGTGATACAGATATTTTGGGATATTAGTAAAAAGGGGAAAAAGGGAACTCCGCAGAACTTGCCTTCAACAATTTTTTTTTTTTTTTTTTTTATTAGACAACAGAAAGGATAAGAGACCTCAAACTATCCCACTTACTTGTAGCAGAATAGACCTTAGACCTTAACCCAGACCAGGAGTCCACTGGATGAAGTATGAAGTGCTGTAAAAAAAAAAAAAATAATAAACCAAGTCCTTTACTTTCACATTTTTTTTCCTACTCAAGTGTAAATAATGCTTTAATGGTTTCCTTGAGACAAACTATTCTGACAAATGTTTACGGAGTTAATAAGGAATTCCCTGCTCTGTGAGTAGGTAGATGTTTAGACAGTTTGATATTGGAAACATTACACAGCCTGTGCTGTAGCAGTTCATAGGAAAGTTTGATGCAACATCAGTTTCCTTTTCCAGTCATGTCACATTGCAATTTATAGCAGTAGACCATGAGGTAGCAGCTCCAAGGAAAGCATTCTGCAGCAACAAAGGGCATGCCACTGCAAATAGTACCATTCTCCATGTACCAGTTTGCAGGCTTTTGAGGGCACTTACTTGTAGCAGAATAGACCTTAGACCTTAACCCAGACCAGGAGTCCACTGGATGAAGTATGAAGTGCTGTAAAAAAAAAAAAAATAATAAACCAAGTCCTTTACTTTCACAGAAGTCACCTCTTCCTGCTTACCTGGAAATATCATCCACGGGTAGTTATTTTGCATCCTAAATCCCAAGCTCTGCAGGAGAGATCTAATGCTGCAGATGCTCAGGATCTTCATCCAAGTTCTCTTCAGGGCCTGATTCAACCGAGCAATACACTGGCCAGTACTGCTAGTAAATAGGAAAATTTTATTAGAGCAACCCCAAGCCCCACCCTGGAGCCACAGTAACATGAAACAACATTTCCCCATAGTTGTTCAACCACCATTCAAACAGGAGGCAAAACAAGGCTTTCACTTTGAAGTACCATTTTATTTTCTATTAGGTTTGCATACAGAGCTTCAGGCTAGTTCAGACCAACTGTGCACTGCATAGCCGCAGGGACGGGGTGCCTGCGTGCTGGGCACCCAGCAAGGGCTGGGTTTGCAGGGCAGGGTTTCCACAGCGCCGTGGGGCAGGGGAAACAGGGGTGGCTTTTGTGAGAAGACACCAGAAACTTCCCTACGTCTGGCAGAGCCAATGCCAGCTGGCTCCAAGACAGACCCACCCCTGTCCAAAGCTGAGTCCGTCAGCAACAGTGGCAGCAGATCTGGGATAATGTATCTAAGATGGGTGAAAAAAACCTGTGCAACTGCAGCTGGAGAAGAGAGTGAGAATTTGTGAGAGAAACAACTGTGCCAACACCAAGGTGGGCAGGAGGTGCCCCAGGCACCAGAGCTGAGCTTCCCCTGCAGCCCATGGAGGCCCATGGTGGAGCAAAGATCTACCTGCAGCCTGTGGAGGATCCCATGCAGGAGAAGGGGAATGCCCAGAGGAGGCTGTGAGCACGTGGAAAGCCTGTGCTGGAGCAGGTTTGCTGGCTAGAGACTCCATGGGGGACACATGCTGTTGGAGAAATTTGAGGAGAACTGTCTCCTGTGGGAGGGACCCCATAAAGAAGAGGGGAAGAGTTTGAGAAAACCTCACCATGAGGAGGAAGGAGTGACAACAACTGATGAATGAACCACATTCCCTGTCCCCCTGCACCACTGTGGAATGGAGATAGAGAAAATCAGGAGTAAAGCTAAGCCCAAGAAAAATAGAGGATGGGAGGAAAGTATTAAGATCTGGGTTTATTTCCCATTATCCTACCCTGATCTGATTGGTAATAACTTAATTTTAATCCAAGTCATCAATCTCTCCCTGTCCTTATCTTAACCCATGAGCCTTTTATTTTCTCTCCCCTGTCCAGCTGAGGAGAGGAGTGATGGAGCAGCTTTGGTGGGCACCTGGTCTCCAGCCAGGCTCAACCCACCACACCACCGCCTCTACAAAGCACCACTTTACACGCTTTGCAGAACACCAAAGCAGTGAAGTAGTATTTGCACAAAAAATTGCATTATAATAGCAAAAAATGTGTAAACATTTCTAGCATTGCTCAAATACAGCATCTACCTTGAATACTGGGCCACATCCCAACAAGATGGGATGGGATGGGATGAGCATATTATGGGAGAGCTCTCTGAACAGGGCCTTACTGTCTTTGAAGATATGCCAAGGGCTGATGTGAAGTCCCCCAGTGCATTCTGCAAATCCCCTGCTCAGCCTTTGAGCCAAGGGCTGGTTCTGTTCTGACCAACACAGTCCAGTTATCCATATGCAAGTGGCACCAAAGGAAGAATTTGTCCAAACCGCAGCTGAACTTTATCTTTCAGCTTCATAAAATATATCCTTGGTGTTGGCTCTTCATGTTGTTCTCTGATAATTCCAAGCGGCCAGAACTTCCAAAACTTTTCAAAGTGACCTCTGGTTGTGGTAACCTGCTTTGATACTAGGGATCAGACTTTCTCTAGGAGACAACACAGGAAACTCCTCTTGAGGTTAAAATGGCAACAGGGAGTTCACTGCTGTTGAAACCAGACAGCATGAACCAGCCTTTTAGAGTACTGAGAAATCTACAATCCAGTTTTTAATTTAAAAGTTTAAACAGAAGAAGTTTACCATAGAGCTTTGTGTTGCTGGACCCTCTGTAGAGCGTAGTCCATAAGTCAAACTCCAGCTGTTTGGGTTGCAGCTGCATCAGCCCTAGATTTGATCAGCCACAATGCTGAAAACCCTCCATGGCTCGCTGTTTCATGGCCCCTTCCCCCTGTTCCAGTAAGACCTGTTTGCAAATCAGAGGTTAAATGTGCTCCAGACATGGCCTGACAATCAGTGCAGACTGTACTATGGTAGGGGCTTAAACTGATTTCAGCCTTTTTTTGCCTGTAAATTAATTTCTACTTTTAATAGCTTGATTGAGAGTGGACATATGGGTATTTAAACTTCCCTTAAAAATTCCTTGTAAACCAGAGTTTTGGATCTCATTTCTCTCAGTGGCACAGCAGGCAAAGAGGAGCAAGCACACACATTTGCTGTTATCTAGGGAAGTAAGAAATGAGCATAATGAACACAGCCTCGCTGCTTTTCAGTTAATCCACCCTCAATGCCTGCCTACACAACAGCAGCAGAGTGCACTGTCTTTGCCTGCAGCACTCACCCTACTGTAGAAGAAATAATGGCTTTTGTGCTTTCTGTACTCCCAGATCCTGACAGTCCGTGGTCAGACACTCACACACCCTGGTGCCTGGTCTGGCTCTCCCATCACAGCCAGGTTTCTGGCGTAGCTTCAATAAACTATCAAACTACCTATTTTGAAAGCAAGATAAGAAGGAAGAGAAGAGGTAAGCATTAACTATTTCATGAAATTCACAAACCAAGAAAACAGGTCACAAGTCTGTCCAACCAAGCCTGCAATCCTCCTCAAGATGCACAGAAACTATTCAAAGCATAAATACTCAATGAATGCCAAACCTGCACAGTCAGGCAGGCTTCTTCTCTCTGTAGGAGCTTAAGGAGGGTGTCTTTACATTGCTGACATTTTGTTTCCATGCACAAGAAGTCTCTGAGAGGTATTTATTCCATTCACATGAAAAAACAATTTCATGTACTCGAAAGACAAAAAGGATGGCAGTACAGAAAGTTTTCTTCATTACAAAGTGTTTTTCCATCAGGCAATTATTTATAAGAACTTTTGTTAACACTGGAGTTGAGGCTCTGGAACAAAGTGGATATATTGTTTACTAGCTTTGCCAGTCGATCTCCTCTTACAAAACCTCTCCCTTCCCCCTCTCCTTTTCCAGCCAAGCCAGTCCCTTGCATAGCTCAGGAGTTTCCTTTGTCACCAAGATCTCCTTTTCCACAAATTGTCCCTTGAATGATGCCATCTTCAATGTAGTGGCCTGAGATATCCGTGCTCCTGCAGAGAACTGTCGAGGGGATCCGAGATGAGCGTCTCTCCTGGCTCTTATCCTCAGAGGAGCAGCAAATCATCCTTTTCATGGTAGCCCACATCTCATCATCTTTGTATGAATAAATTATTGGATTCATGACAGAGTTCAACAGGGCCAGGAGAAGAAACCACCTTTTAACATGCTGAATCCCACAGTCAGTACAGTTCAGTCCGTCCAGCAATAATACAACCAGGCCAGGGGTCCAGCAGACAACAAAGGCACCTAGAAATATAGGAGACAATAAAAAGGAAACCAAATCTGACTTCAAACTTCTAGGGTTTTGGAGTGTTTAATATCTTACAAGATTATTAAGTTTGTCAAAATTCTACACAAAAATTAGAAAAGCAGGAGAGGACAAAATTCTAATGATGGTAGCAAGATTATATCTGCTACAGCTTCTGCGCCAAGCCCTGAGCAGGAGGCAGGGCAGCTCTCAGAAGACTGCAAGGAGCAAGAATCTGAGCTGCTGACTGCATCTGCTCAAACACACATGGGAAAAGGTCATCACAACAATGATTTATCCATGCTGATAAATAAACAAGAGCTCTGGAGCATTTAAAAGCAGAGAACTGGCCCTGGAGCACATTTCCTCTGTTCATGTCTTTCATGCACTGGAGGAGAAGACATCAGTTGGTTCACTTCCACCACTGCCATAATATGATCTAAAGAGACAAGTCTCCTGCCACCCCACAGCTGGCTCTGCAGTGCCAATTAATAAGACAGGTGCCATGTAATTTGCACATGTCCTGGGAGGAAACCCACAGCTAATGTAAGATGTGCCACTCCCTACAACACACGAGCACCGTGAGCTCCCCGCTCAGAGCTGAGCTCGCCTCCTTCCACTGCTCCCTCCCAGGCTCTGCATGCTGAGACACAGTAATTCAGCTGCAGGAAAAAATTTAGTTACACAGGAAAAGAGAGGAGGAAACAAATAGGTTAATTGGTGAAGGTAAAGTGAAGGATGTAGCAGTCGGGGCACAATGAACCACATTCCCTGTCCCCCTGCACCACTGTGGAATGGAGATAGAGAAAATCAGGAGTAAAGCTAAGCCCAAGAAAAATAGAGGATGGGAGGAAAGTATTAAGATCTGGGTTTATTTCCCATTATCCTACCCTGATCTGATTGGTAATAACTTAATTTTAATCCAAGTCATCAATCTCTCCCTGTCCTTATCTTAACCCATGAGCCTTTTATTTTCTCTCCCCTGGAAAAAAAAAACCCAAAAGCAAAACAGAAAAAGTATGAGGAAGTAAGTGCATAGTGGAGGGGGGAAGAGAAAACTCTGCAAGAGAGGCAAAAGAAATTAAAGGGAGAATGAGGTAGAAGAGATCTTAGACTGAACACAGCACAAAGAAAACATTAAAACCACAGCTTAGAAGGCAGCTCAATATTGCATTTGCACCTTCCCAAGTTCCTGAACACCCACACTGAGGGTAAGTGACGGTGAGCAGGGGTAACACTTCTACCAAATGCAGCCTCAGCCACAAGCTGGAGAGGGTCCCTGGGCTGCCCCATCTGGCCCTTGGTGTCCCCACTGCACTGCACCCCGTGATCCCTCACCCAGAGCCCAGGGAAGGAGTAGCCATGTGCATGATAATACTAACTTAGCACAAGCCACAATTGCTGTCTGACATACAGAAATAGAAAATTACAACTCTGCCCAGCAGTCACAGTTTGAACAACGTACCGAAGAAATTCCAACCACTTATCACAGCAGAGTTTCACTATTTTGGAGCTTAGAAAAAAATAATTCAACAAATAATAGCATCTACATGCCTAAACGCTCTCTGAGAATGTGGATATCTGTTCAACAATTTTGGTAGAACAATCAAGTCCACCTCATCTTTTCAAAGCTGCTGATAGTCCCGTGTCCAAGCTGTGGAAGGCAGCAGTGGGAGGGAGCCTGGCCAGGGCAGGAGGCAGGCAGTGTCAGAGGCAGTGCCAGGGGCAGTGCCAGCAGCACCCAGGCACCCAGCAGCAGCGCTGCACGCACGGGCTGGGGCCAGCAGCACCGACACCTCCCCACCAGGACTGGAGAGGACACTGCCTATGTGACAGGCAGGCCATTGTGGTATGTTAGGGGGATTTGTGTGACTCACCAAGCACTAGGATTGCTGAAAAATGTATCCAGGACAAAGTATTGTGGATCTGCTGCAACCTTGTGCTCCTGGACTACAGACAAAATTCAGCTGATTTACTCTGCTCTAGGCAATACTGAACAGAAAGGCAAGACACCACTTTCTTCAGAAACTGAATTTTCAACTCTGCTGTACCAAGATTTTTGTGATGCTAAGTGCTAATTTCATGGTGTTAGTTTTGAGATACTGGTTAACATCAGTAACATTCCTCCATTGCCCACTGGCACTGGGAGCTGCATGCTGCTACCACAACACTTGTTTTTCCTGGTCAGTCTCTGTTCTACACACTGGTTTGGCTCCTGCATGCTGACTAAACAGTTGTGAGCAGGGCACCAGCCCTCTTTTATCATCTACAATGGACAAAACACTGTACAGAATTGCTGTCCTGGCGTTCACCTGCAAATCCCATCAGTTATAACAAGTGCTGTAACCCAGCTACCCAGAAAATACTGTGCCTGGTTAAGTGTTCAGACACAGAGCTTTCACTAACAAGGGTCACTGGCAAAGCTGCCAATCCACCAGCTCCATGCACAAACTGAGATGGTAACAAACCTTCCTTAGAACAGACACTGAAAGCATTTTGACCACTTGTACCATAAAGAGTGCAAGGTGCAACCACGCTTTTATGGAAGTCAGCAGGAGAGGAAAGAGACCCCAAAAGGCACACTTAACAAAAGGCACAGAAATCTCTCCTTCAAACAGAACCCCAGATTGCAAGCAGGAGTAGTCCACGAACTCATAGGATGTATCCCTGTCTATCTATACCAGCAAAGCCCTAAAAGGTTTCAAAAGTAAGGGAAGATAAAAGACACCTGCAGGCACAGTTGTGCCTCCACACACTTCCCACGACCGAAAACAAGGACAGGGCAATGCAGTGAGAGTGTCCAAGTTACTGGATAATGCTTTCTTGGGGCTGCTGCTTTGACTCCATCAAAAACACATTTTGCTCTTAGCACCACAGAGATGAAAGTGAAGCACGTCTCAGACTTGCAGCCTTGCTCAGATTTTGTTATTTTTACCACCAAGCTTTCAGAGGGAGCCATGGTTAAGCATAAAAATATACCTTAGTCTCAGCCCTTCAGCAATTTTCTTGTTTGCAGAATATTTATCCCATAGGAGCTCCCCTCCCAGATGAAGTGACACACTCCAAAAATAATTTAACTTCTGGGACTCATTAAAATTCACAAAAGTGACATGAAATACAGTCTGACTGCCACATAGATTAGAACAACTTGGAGTCTCTTCACCAGATTATGGGAGATCGCAATGGCTCAAGGTTAGTTTGAGGATTTTCCATTAGATTTAACCATGGGATTTCTTGTAGATTACATCATCTCTGTTTAAAAATTAATTCCTGTGGATCTGGAAGCACTACTGATGCTTCAACAGCATCATTTCATAAACTCCTGCATGTCAAGGCTGTCCCTGAGCATGCCAACACTGAGAGAAAAAAAGTGCAGTAGGTTCCAGATGCCAGTGCCACATGTGTGACCAAGTTAAAACAGCAAGTTACCAATTAAACTAAAAATTCACTGAAACTGAAAATCATCCCCTCCAAAGCTGCTATTTCAGCAGGAATCTCACTGCCAGGTTCAGAGGAGCTACCACATACACAACCACCTGAAAATCACATACCCACACACCTGCAGCCACTCTTCTTCAAAGCTACAGTCACAGGCTGAGCTGGGATTATGCCACAAGGTCAGCCCAAGAGGATTTTAGCCCTTTTTCCTTGGTTTCACATCTTCCAGTTTCAACTGGATAACACCCTGTGGTTCAGCATGCCAAAGGGAAAGCCTTGCTCCTGTTCCATGATGGACTATTTCAGGGGTTATGGCAGGAATGCGCAGATGACAGAGACGTGACTCAGCCTCTGGAAGGGACCCTCCAAGCCTAAGTGATGGTGCAAAAAGCCACCACAAGCTGTGGTCACCAGGAATCCATGAAATGACCCTAAAATCTCAATTTCCCCCAACTCTCAGCTGTAAGGCCACAGGAGGAGAACACTCGGAGAGGACAGGGATTTTTTGCTTGAAGGGCAGCCAGCCACAGCCCAGCCTTCCCAAGGAGGGAGCAGGAGGAAGCTGGGAGGAGCAGCATGCCAGCAGTACCCAGCTACACATAGCCTCCTTCCACACAGCAGCAGAGGAGAGGGATTTTGTCCTGAATCTCCCATGAAAGCAATAGAGCACATGAACAAGAATGTTGGGGATTGTTATGCATTATCCAGCACAGCATCTTGGAATAGGCTTTTAAGATTGTATCAGGTGTGTACTCCAAAGCATTTTCAGATGTTTCAGGAAAATGTATTTAAAATAACTGCTTTGGGCAAAACCCACGGGCTGTATATAGTTTCTAGGCTCTTCCTTCACTTGTTATAAGCAGAATTTTGGAAGAATCACTTTGGTCACTTGGTGACTCCTAGTAATTGGAAAGTCCAGAAAACAATCTATTTGGTTTTTAATGCATTTTGCACACAGTGCTTGAATTACTTGGCCAGGAGAGCACATTTCAAACTGTTTAAAAAAATAAGTTCTCATTCTTGGAAATAAATGGTTATAAATAGCCTCTCAGAGTCAAAATTTGGAGAACTGATATGAAGGAACATGCCAAGATACTTTTCCTCTGACCCATGAGCTTGTAGTAGACTGTACATCCAGCAGCACCAGCACTAATTTAACTTCTTTGGAAGCAGGCTCTGTTTCAGTTTTGTTTCTGACTGAAAAAGTAAATATACAAAATTAGGATCTCTAAAGCAGCACTCAAGCTAAGTTAAATTTGCCTGGTCCAGCACGCAATAACATTAAATGTTCTGCCCGAATTATAGTTCAATTTCATGGCTGAAAAGCCATATGCTGAGAGTAAGAGGAAGCTAATGCTGAACTTCAAATCAACCCATAGTCCTAAGACCCCGCTCCCTAGGAAAAAAAATACCAAGTTCAAAATGAGATTTTAAGGGGGGTTTATATCCACACAGCAGCATGGTCACAGAGAACACTGAAGGCTTGCCTCAGGCTAAGGACCTTGAGGGATGAGGGAATGGCAGCCACCATCCCTGTCCCTCCAGCTCCCACATCGTCTGCAGGGTGCAGTCCTGCCTTCAACAGAAATGCTCAGAGAGCTGCTTTTTAAAAGTGCTCTGTTCTCTGTGTCTTTCCAATGCAGCAGTTAACTGCAGTCTACTCATCCCTATGCATTAGGGCAGGGTCATATTTGGAGCAATTTCAGAGTTTTTCTGCAGGGATTTTCTCCTTCCAGGTGGATGGTTTAGGTTTCACTGCACGGGAGCTTAGGTGGGGCAAAAGATCAAATCTTGCTCCTGCAAGTCAAGGGCAGAGGGACAGGAACAACCACAAATTGGCTCTCAAAAAAGAACAGTTGGGTGATGATTTAGAAGGAAAAGGCTTTGGCAGCAGACAAGCCAGCTCCAGAAGACACTGAAGTGAAAACCTTGTACATGCTTGAACTACCAGTTCACTTTCTTTTACAAGGTCAGGCACTGTGAAGTTTAATGGGTTTCAGCCTCTGAAGCTCTTTAAGACATCATTTGGTAGACAAAGGTGTTATACAGCACAGCACTATTATTTCAGAAAAAAAAACAATAAAATCAGATACCAGACTGTGCAAACAGCTCCCAAAAACTGCAAGGGGAAGAAAGTGTCCTCAACTTGAACTTCCTATCCTGGCAAATCCTATCTCCATGAAAAATTACACTTTTCTCCCAGAGCTCTCTAATACTACCATGCTGCAGTATGACACACCTGTGCCCCAGGTATACATGACCACCAGCTTTCCCAAAAGCTCCAGCTCTGCTACATTGGCTCATCCAACCTCAGAACAGCTGTTAGAGCAGTAAAGCCATATTTGTGGGTTTAGAGTCCACCACCACCTGAGCCCAGCTTCACAAATGTCTCAGTGTACCCCCAGTTCCACCTGGAGCCCTGCTGACATGATATTTGGTTTCCAGGATACATCTTGTTCAGATTCAAGTAATTCTGGAGAAAATTTACTGCTACAGCTGGTATTTGTTCCAAGGATCAGTCACCTGATCTGTTCATCTCTAATTTAATGTGCACTACATCACAATTCCCTGAGCAAGTGATCTGAGCTGATCAAGTATCAACAGTGTCTTTAGGCTAGAACCCAGGGAAAAATCTCATGTTATTATTTAGAGATCTAAGGCTAGACTCTACCATCATTATCTAAAAGTATTTCTCACCATACAATACCCACAGAATGAAGGTGAATCCTTCCTTGGAAACAAACCTCTAGCAAAGTCACACACCCACCAGCCATTCTCTCCTTTCCCCAGGGAAGGTGCATCTCCAGGGGAAAGGAGTTTCTATGTCCAGGAAACAGCCAAGAGGAAGATGTGCAAAGAAAAATATCGACACCCAACATGTGTCATTTGCTCATGGCCTTGTGCAAATATTAAAAAACATTACTTTGAAAATGTTCTACTAAAAAGTTATAAACCTTCACAAGCCTTTCTCCAAAGTGATTTTGTATCTTCCTGCTAAAAAAAAAAAAAAGAAAAAAAACCCACCCAAAAACCTTTACCTTCAAAATTTGTGTTTTGTAACAAGGCCATCTACACTTTTCTTCTGTGTGTTGACCAGTCCTCTATCTCATGTTTCTGCATAGTGCAACAGCTCTTTCAGTGTCTAAAGCACACAGAAGTCTAGATGTCTCCAGCACTTAAAAGTTCAGTGAGGTTTCTTTGTGTTAGGAGGGCTGAGTTTTTGTGGAGTTTTTTGTTGGTTTGTTTCAAATAAAAACTAAACCAAACCAACACAAACCAATTCAGTGGCACTGCCAGCCTTGCCCAGCATGGTTTGTAGTCTCTTACCTAAGACAGTCATGACAGTCTTCATGAGCTTCACGGGGGTTCTCCTCCGGCTGATGGACCCACTGGTGTGTGAGGACAAGACGTTGGTTTTCCTCTGGACGTACATGTAGATTCTTATGTAAACCACCACCATAATGAAGAAGACAACCAGGTTTAAGACACTCCAGAACACCAGGTAACTTCTGCTGTAAATGGGTGCCAGGGATGAGCAGACAGTAATGTCACAGAGGCAGTTCCAGCCCAGGGTCGGAACAGCACCCATGAAAATTGCAATGGCCCAAATGGATATAATCAAGAAGGTGACTCTCTTCTTGGTGAGATTGCTGTGGATCTTCATGCGCATGATGGACATGTGGCGCTCCACGGCGATGACCAGCAGGTTCACCAGGGACGCCGTCAGGCTGGTGTCCAGCAGCCCCTGGCGCAGAAACCAGCGGTTCACTGTCAGCGTCTTAGACACCGGGCCCGTGTTGAACATCAAGAACACGTAGGCGATCCCAGCAAAAAAGTCTGCGGCTGCTAAGTTGGCCAGAAGATAGTAAAAGGGAAAATGAAACCTCTTGTTCTTCACCACAGCTGCTATGACCAATGAATTTGAAATGAAAATGAAGAGGCAGAAAAAGGTGCCAAAGCATAGAACACCAATGAGCTGCGGTCCTGTCCACTCATCCGCCGTGTCCGTCTTTGTCCTGTTGTAGAAAAAGTCCATGCGCTTGTCATAGTAGCATTCGTTCATCCTGGATCAAAGCCCCTGCATCCTAGGGAGGGTGGAAGGGAAAAAGAAGGAAGAGTAACAATCAGCAAATAGTCCTTGCTTCAATCAATACCTTCCTTTCTGGGAACAAGGGATGGTGACAAGAACACAAGAGGGTGTATATTTGGAGGCCTTAAGTAAAAATTCAAACTGTGCAGGGTGGAAGCAGAAGATACTCTGGAGGACCAGAGTGCATGATGCTTGAATGATCAGGAATTTAAAAAGATTTTCCTACTTAAAAAAATCCAGCACAGTTCTTTTGCACTAGCAGTCATACTGTACAAGCAACAAAGTGGAAGTTAAAAAAATTACTTTCTGGAGATCATGGGGAAAATCTGAGCAACAGCCAAGCCATTCTTGCTGTGAAATCCCATGTTTGAGCCACAGCCCCATCATTATTTCCATTTCTCAGTGTAGCCAGTTGGGACAGGGAAGCATAAATCATAAGCCTTCCACTTTACTGACTAAGCAATAAAAGGCCCATTACAGAAAAAAAAAATCTTTTGGTTTTTCAATTTTATGTTAATAAATGTAAAAAATGTATGTATATAAGATACTACAGGCATATATATTCTGAGTGCATATCTGTTATTTACTACTAGAGGACTTCAGTAAATGTGCTGAAAAGGGAAAAATATTTTCTAGATATTTGACTGTTCTAAAGCCAGGGACTATTTTACTGGGCTCTCAAGCACCACACAGCCCACTTAAGATAAGCATCCAGAAACCAAAGCCCAGGTTCCCTAGGTAGGGCTCCCTACCCAACCACAGGTTAAAGCAAGCCCCAGGAACAGCAGCAGCGCCGGGGTTTATTTCTCATACCCACTCAGCACTATTTTGGACACAGGGCTATTAAACCTGATGATGGAGAGGGAGTCCAAGTTCTAGATTACATCACACTTCTGCTACTCTGGGGAGGTCAATGCCAGCTGCTTTGGCAATTTTACTGCCTTTTTTATGAACCAAACTGAACCTGGACTAATTTACAGAGGAGATCTGACAGCAATTACTCATGGCTGCTGGACCCCATGCAGGGTCTCAGAGCACAGAAGGGAGAGTTTGTGTCTGATCATCACCAGCCCTCACATTCACTGTCAGTGTCTGAAGAAGGGTTTTAACAGTTCATTAAGAGATATGTACAGTTTTAGCAAAACCCAGGAACACAGCCATAGCACAAGATCCTAATCATACCAGATATTATACAGAGTGGCAACCAACAAAAAACTTAGAAGAGGTGGTTACAGGCAGAAAGATTTTAAAAAGCATAGGCTTTCCATCTCTGCAGCTAAAATTGTTGACAGATAAACACCAGGTTCACTTAGTCTATTATTACCCTGTGGTTATTTTACAGTTAAATATCATCTCCCCAGGGACTGAGAAGCAAATTAAACAATCCCCAGCAAGCTGGTTAATGCACCACATTAAAGATTCCTTCCAAGCCTTGAACTAAAAAGGTCCATCTTTTGTCATTTATGTTATGCTACCTGTGTTATTTCATGGAATATTTACAGTCATTTTAAATCAAATTAAACTATTCCATAATTAATATTTTCAGGAAGTTTATCTTTTTTAATATTCCATTTTTCTGACCTAGCTCCTTAGCCTTTTTTTCCTTGATTTTTGTTAATTCTCACCTAGTAGTCAACATGAAAGCACGCCACTTGACATTGTTGTCCATTTCATTACCATCAAGAACCTGGCCAGCTACTCTTTTTTACAAAAGGCTATATTACTTAAAGCATCAAATTTAAACACATAGTCAGAACTAAGAACAGCTACTTAAGGACAAGAAGTGGAAGGAAACAAGTAAATCATCCCTTGTGCTGAAATATTACAGAGCATCCCTGCATCTAAAAATAAAAAAGCCTCAGCAATGCAGATCCACTGCAATGAGTCAACTGGAATTCAACGCCCACTGCTCTCTGTTCACGGGAACAAGGGGGAGCTGGGCAGTCAGCACATTCCCCATTCTCACCTAGGAGCTACTCAAAAATCAAATTCAGTCTGCAAGTGACCAGAAGTCCCTGAGGAGCTGCAGACAACAGCTACTCGAGTAGCCCAGTGCTGGGAACCCTGCCAGCAGAGAAGCCTCTGCTCTAACACACCAAGGCAGCAAAGGACTTACTGAGCTTGACATTAGGCTTTTATAGAACAGCCCAAATGCCTGCAAATAGAAGCAGCATTTTGGGCAAGAATGGAAGGGAAAAAAAAAAAAAAGCCAAAACTGTGAAAATTACAGGGAAGGTTTTCTCAACATGTTGTATCTTACTGTGTAATCATCTCAACAGATGAATCTCTTGCTTGCAGTGACAGAAGAGTAAAGAAATCAACAGATGCTTTTTGCATCTCATCTGCTTAAAAACTTAAAGAAATCCAAAATATCAACTATGAATTTATTTGAAATACTTCAGCTTAATGAGGTCCCATCCTTATTTGAAGTAGTAACCAAAGAAAAAAACATTCACACATCCGTAATTCTCCACTGAAATAATTACACTACAAACACTTACTGTCACACAGCAGAGCTCAAACGACAAATGATTTTGAAAGAGATGTCTTGAGGTATTGAGGTAAGATGAGAAAGAGTAGAAAAGCATCCAGCTGAGGTCTCAGAGTCACAGGGCAGACTCTGGAGATTTCCAAATGGAAGCTGCACCAAAGCAGAAGCTGAACTGGAGCCAGTTTACATCCCAGTCCTTCGAAGTGGAGATGCAGCACTTGGCTATCTGTGTGCAAAAAAGCACTTACAACACCAGGGGCCTTGCAGACAGTGCAAGTTTTCTTCACACCTTTGTCTGAAGTCCTCCCAGCAGAACGAGCCTGGTCTCAGGGGAGCTGTACAGCTGTGACACAGCTATGCAGCTGAATCCTCAGTGCTCCTGCCCCAGTCCACAGCAGGCACAAGTCGTGGGATAGCATATTCCATAGTTCCTGGCATGTGACATGTCCTGGCAGCACTTTCTTCTCCAGGTCTTCTCTTCTGCAGCCAAATCAGAGATGTTTATCTTAATCAGGGCAGGTTTAAACTTAAGAAGAAAAAAATAACCCTTAAATATAACCCTTTATTAAAAATAATCCTTAAATATCACAAATTTCAGATCTGTTTATTAAGTACACAAGAACTTGAGTATTCAGGCAAAATACTGTTCAAAGTTAGTAGAGAAACAGCTAAACTTGTCAGTCCAGACTTAAAAGGCAAGAGAGTCACCCAGAGTCTGCAGCAGAGAGCTCCCCTGTTGTGCTACTCACTTAAAGAATAATTGCCTTATTTTGCTTTGAAATTGGCTCTCCCAAGCTTGACAGTTCTTGGGTTTTTTATGAGAAAGGACAGTAGACAATCTCTATTCACCTGTTCTACACCACTTGGTGTTTCCTATCCCACCACGCAGATCTCCAGCAGTTACCACATACTGCATGTTCTACAGGTGAGTTGAGCTAACAGCTTGCTCTTTTACTTGCAGAGAAATACATCAAAACTTGTCAAGTGCCAAAAACACACCTTTGTCTAAAAGGTTCTTTCCCTCATTTCAACTTATTTAATTACCTCCTTTCAACCAATAGTAGCCACAAAGATCACAGAGTGATGGACTATGAACTGCATTTTCCTCTACCACTCTTGAGTAAACGTTCAAGCTTTTTCTCTTTTTTGAGTGGGAAAAATCCTCTGTTCCAAAAAATCTCAAAGGAGTTGGGATTTTAGCTAAACAGTTTTCAAACTTAAAAGGACACTTTAAGAATTCTTCCCAATACATAACATCTTGAACATTATTTGTGTTAATGACAGATGTATGTATTTTAATTGTTTAAAAATTCCTTTATGACAGTATAACTCCTACCAAGTCAGAATATGTTCTTCACTATTCTTTAAACAAAAGCCAAGAATTTGCATGAGTATGTAGAAATATATTACACTAGCTACCTGAATAAAGAGTTAGTGAAATAAAACATCACCTAGATAATGTTTTCGACAAAAGGTTTGGCTAGTTGCAAGCTAGCATGCTTTAATGGTTGTTATTCAATTGGAATCTTGTTTGCATCAATAAATTCACTGAAAATGTGTATATTTATAATGAAATTTAATATTGTTAAGTTATCTAAGTCAAGGACTTAAAGACAGTTATTTAAGTGAAGGATTTTGCTGATTGAAACTGTGATTAAAATTAGCTTTAAGTAATCTTGATTAAAAATTAAATTTTGTCTGTAAATCAGCTCTAAGTTGAGTTTCTCATAATTAATGCAAACGTTTCTGAAGGAAAACACAAATAGTATCTTAATGATAAAGTCATTATAAAATTTAGCCTTCAAGCCATAATATAATTCAAGGCACACTCCCATGGTTTTCTTCCCTGTCCATTAAAAACCAAGATGTTCCAAATACATTGGCTACAACTTTATTGAAGGGCTGGTTTCATTTGGGGGACTTTGATGGCTTCTGCCCTGTTTCTGTATAAATGCAAGAGGGAGGGAGCAGACAGGCTTGGGGTGGCACAGAAAGCTACAGTGAGAGGATTCTAGCCAGCTTTAGAGATGGACTGAAAGTCCTGGGAGCAAACCTGAGCCTACAAGGAGGACAATAGTGGTGAAGCCCTTGAGCAGGGCAGAAAGCCATCTCAGGGAGAGGGAGGGTGTGTGCCCAGGCACAGCACCAGCCTGGTTTACTGAGCTGGCACAGGAATTTCTGTGCAGAATTTCAGGGTAGTTAGACACCCAAATCGATCCACTGTGGAACAGGAGAGACCACAGAGCCAGTACAGTCCGGGCAGGTCTGTGCGATGGCGCAGAGGAGCGAGCTGTGCCCAGGCTCAGCCTGCAAAGCAGGCAGCCTGCCAGCTCTGCCTGAGCTCTTTGCCTCCTGGCTCCCTTCTCCATTAGCAAAGGCCAGGTATTAAACACAGATCTCCAAGAGATTTTGAAACTTATTACAAAAGTTTCTCTGCGGAAAGCTGAGTTTATCACAATGACTAACCACAGGCACAGGTGGCATACTGTGAAATACTCTCTTCACATTCAGACTGTCACTGCAGAGAAATATCAGCACAATTGCCTACTTGCACATATTCCTTCAGCTTTTTTAATCGACCCTACAAGCAGCAGATGGCTCTTGTAGAGCACCACAAAAGGAGTGTCTGGAGGCTTGCAGCCAGCGCAGCCCCTGCCAGGGCTCCCCACAGCAAATTTGTCTGCCCGCACCCTGTGCCACAGGCAGACACAGACACCCCCTGTCCCGTCCTCTTCTTCTGGATAAACCACCCCTGCTGCTTTTGTTTTTCTCATTTCTGAAAAGCTCTTGCTCACCTTATAGCCCAGAGGAAGGCACAGGCAGAAGGAAGCCAGGGTGCTGGGCAGCCAGAGCTGTACACAGCAGCAGCACCAGTTCAGAATGGGAATTGGTTCCTTGTTCCCCTCCACAACCTGCTACATGTATGGCCACGGAGGAAAACACAACCCAATGATTGCACAGTAACCCAAGAAACCCATCCAGGTTACCTCAGTTTAGAAAGAAATACCAGGGCAGAAAAGGGTGTGTAACACAGCAGAAGCCAAAAATGTTAATATGTAACTGTAAGGAAGAGTTTTGTGAGCTGAGTGCTCCGGTTCACTTTTAATTGTCTTTAATAGTTTATTGATATTATAACTAAAATAAATTTAGGGAAACAAACTGAAAGGAAGCACATAGAGAACACAACATTTTGCATACAAATATATCTAAACTGAAGCTTTTTTTTCATCTGGTACTACTAGAGGACGTAATTGAAGGCAACATTCATTTAATAGGTCTTACAGAGACAAATTATCTCAGAAATGCAACTGTTTTACATTTTGTTTATTACAGAAATTGTGCAGGCACTGCCTGTACTTGAAACAGCATGGTACACTTCAAGGACCTGAGAACGTAATTTTTCACAAACATTTTTTAAAATGTAGCTTTACAAATTGGAAAAAAAAAAAAAAGTTATTACTAAAACACCATGAGGCCAAATGAATAAGTTTTTCAGCCAGAGAACTTGCTTATTAGTAAGGGAATCTACTTGTGGTTTTGATTGGCTCTAATTTTTTTTCTTTAACTGTAGTATCTCCAAGTTCAGATGACTTGCTGAACTCAAATCAATCACTCCCAAGCAGCATTATCCCACTACCTTGGTCTTGGTCTCTACCTTTTAGACTAAGGAGAGCAAAGTGCCACATCCATTTTCTCTCCAAGCCTGTTTCACTGGCATAATGCTAACTTATGGAAAGTACAGCAGCACTCCTACTTCCACCATGGTTCTGAATATTTCCAGTAATAGTCCATTTCTGTGGTGTCATCTTCTGGACTGGGAAGGGAGTGGGGCAAAAGGAATGAAGACGATTCTTTGGTAACTCTTAAGCATCTGTGGTAGAAACATTTAAGGTTTTATTTATCATACATCCTGCATAAAAGACCAGCGCTATATGGTACAAATAGAGAGCCTCAAGAAAAGTATTAAACCTACCAAAAATGTAAAACCTCAAGACTAAATATTTAAAGTTGCAGAGAGAGGAAGCAGTACCACCAGCCACGAACCACAGCGCTCTGCACACACAGCCAGATAAGAGGCTTAATAATCACGGTCAGGGCACAAAGAGTCACCCTGTGCATGTAAGTGACAGTGCTGTTCCTCTGCAAACTGCTGCAGGCTGACACTGACAGCTGAACTGTGGCACAGAGATGCAGGGGCACCTCCACCGAGGCATTACAAAGCTCAGGCTCCAGCTCCTGAAATCCCTTTTGTACAAAGCTGCCCTAAGTTGTCTGAAAGCTCTGATACATTGCAGAAATTTGTTAGGGACAGATAGCAAGTAACTTACTAGTTACCACAAGTTTAGACTTCAGACTTTGGTAATTTAAGACCTTCTGAAATTATGGTTTACTAGATCTATATATGGAGTTCAAACTAAAAACTTTGCTGCAAAGCCTTCATTTAGTCTCCTTTAAGTGTGGTTCTGGAAGGAGCTGGCAGGTCATCCTATAATGCGGAAACAGACACAGCATTTAAAGTATTTAAAAGTCATTCAAACAGCCTATACATTGTGAAACATGCCTAGAAGAAAATACCTGTTCTGCTTCTAAAGTAAGTTTCCCATTTCTGCAGAACTTCCAGGTCCTCTCACTGATCACTATCAGCTCCATTTTACCATTCAACAAATCAGCTTTCTTTCACAAAACCTACAGAATGCAGATACAGACTATTTCAGCACAGTCCCAAACAAGTCAACTTTTACTGTTTATTTTCAGGACATACTGATGAGGACCTAAATCACACCACTGCTGATTAAAACAAGTCACTTGACTGCATCTGATCTGTTAAGAGATTCAGAGCCTGGGTTCACAAGCAAATGTGTCAGTGGAGCTGTTCGAAATAGCACACTCCAAGACATATTTACTCAAGACATAGAAGTTGGCCTAATGGCATAATAGTAGAATTCAGGTATGGCAGTCTTTAAGACTAATACCCAAGAAAAAAAACATTCTCTACAGCATCAAATCATATACTTCAGAAATTTTATTTCATTATCTGATAACATAAAGCCTATGCTGGAAGACATTCCTAAAAGGTCAGTGTAGCACAGAAGGATAAGGACACAGCCAGTCTAACTTGTCTGAAACTTTCACCTAGCATTCTGAAAAAAAACCTAAATACATCTCTCAGCTTTGCATGGTGGTAAGAACTGCTGCTTCTTTACTGATTATGCAGATTTGGTTTGTGGGGCTGTTGGATTTGTTTGCTTTTAGTTTAATTTTCAGTACAGAGATAAGCTTAGTGAAATCAGATTTTTCACCATATAACTGGATTTGAGTTGTGCTTTCTACTGCACTTTTTAGAAGACCATACAAGAAACCACACACAGAGCATAGCTTAAAGAACAAAGCTACAGCAATGCAGCTTACCAGTCCGCAACAAGAAATGTCGTTTTCTAGACTCATATCACAGATAGGAGAACAGACCTAAGTACAATATCACAGATAGCAAAACAGACCTAAGAACATGGTCTCTGGAAACACAAGGGTACAAAACTTCTTTCTCTCCCTCTCCCCTCGGCTCCGACTTTTTTTCCTTAAGGGAAGGAACGCATCATGCAAAATAACGCAGTGTATTTTTTCGGTGTATTGCACAGATTAAGATAACACCGTATTAAGAAAGCACTTAAGACCCTTTGCCGGCGCCCGCACTCCGTACGAGCTGGCCGCGCCCCAGCAGGGCAGGGTCCCCGCGCAGCCCGGGGTGTGCAGACGGGGTCTCGAATGCACGGAAACTCACGTGTGCGCTTCTGAACGCGCGTGGCCGTGTCCGCACACACCGCGACGTCTGTCCGGGACAGAGCGGCTGCGCTCCGGGCTCGGGCTGGCTCCGGCCCCGCTCCGCTCCGCGCCCGGCCCGCCCCGCCGGCCTTAACCCGTCCGGCCCCGCCCGCACCTGCCCCCGGCCCGCGCCCCGCGAACGGGACAGCGCGCCAGGACTTGGTTTCCTCCCCGGGGCCAAGGTTTGGCTCCCCCCGGCACGGGCGGCTGTGGAGAACGCTAGCGAGACCCCCGGGCTGCACAGGTGTAAAGGGCTGTGCGGCCCGAAAAGCCCGTCAGAAGGTCCATCACCATTCACACATTAGGAAACGAATGCAAAACCCAGATAAAACTGCAATAACTTCTGCGAATAGATCCGGACAGTACAGACAGGTAGAGCCCACACGTAGCTGTTCTTCGAAACAGTGTAAAAAGCAAACAAGAACCATTTCACACCCAACAGTGTGATACAGAAATTTGGCGGCTCATGCCACCTCCAAGGGGCCAGAGTGAGCACAGACAGCTTTGTAAGCAAAGACAAGTCAAACTCGAAAGTAGACAGTTGTGCAAAATCAAATTTATCTGGAGCCTGTTATCAAATGGATCTGACCCACTGCTACCTGCCTCTATCACTTACTGAGGCCAGGCATATGTCCACACAGTGCAGACCTTGCACAGGTCTGCGCAGAGCTGAACTGACTAAACAAAATCTCAGCAGAAGATCTCTGTCCCATGTCTCAGAAATCCTGGTAACAATTACAGCATGAAACTTAGGTGTTAAAGCTTAGGTACAGCCTTGCACCTGAACATTATGAAATGCCAAACAGACTCCATGCCAGTTTTTTTCTGTTTTAAACAAACAAACAAACAAAAACAAACAAACAAAAAAACCCCTCCTCAGAATAAGAGCCCAAAATCTTATTGACCCTGTTCCCCTCAGTTGAAAGCTCACCTTGAAGATAGCTCAGGAAATTTTCTTCTCTTCACTCCTGTCCATCTCTAATACAAGCTTCTCATTGTCTCATCCATTTCTATCCTTTTGTTAAGTCCTATAAGCAATTAGCAAAAGCTTCCTATTCCCAAAGAACAAGATTATGAAAGGCAACAGCCCTTTTTCAGAGCACTTTGCAAAAGTTTATGTTCCAGTTCTGCTTCCATTACTGTGCATTACCTCCTTAGCAGCTGGAGTGGGACCACCTATCAGCCAGCAACTGTGTTCAAATCTGTATTAATGTGCAGAATTCAGAGCCAACATATGCCAGATTTCCTGTTAAGTTTCACCTCTGGAACAGAGAGACAGTAATAGCCTCCAGCAAGTGTGTCTTATCTTCCTTTTCAAGAGGAAAAAAAAAAAACCCAGAACACCAGATGGTGAAGATAAAAATTGGTTTCTACAGCACATTAGTGACCTGCTCTAATATGGTAGGGCTGAAGCAGCAGTCTAGCTAGCAAACATTTCATATGATTCAAACCATAAAAAAATCAATACTGGACAAGAAAGCCTCCTGATTCCATTACAGAAATTAAGTCTTAAACCCAGTTAAGAATTATTAAGTATTCTCTGCGTTTCTTTTGTTGATAATGCTTTCCCTCATTTCCTGAGGGGTTCTGTCACAAACAAGTATTTATCTGAGCAGTGGTTTTGGCAGGTCACATTAAGAAAGAGTTGGAGGTTGAGTGAGGAGCCAAGACTCTCCACCAGGGCTCCATGTCAGGGGCAAGGAAGGCACCTCAGCTGCTCCAGGGAAGAGAGGTACCAAGCCCCTGGAGGTGATGAGCCTGCACACTGTTCATACATTACACCACAAATTATCCACACTCATGCTTTACTCTCTGCTCCTGCTAGGTTCCAGTCTCTAACCCAAGATTTCTGTAAGTACTGGCAGAGGGCAGAGCAGTAAGGAAAACTCAGTTCATTCTCAGACATTATGGAACTGTTTGATTTAGAAAGAGGCACTCCAGAAAGCTAACCAGTAAAACAGCAGCAAATTCAGAAAATATCAGCATCTTGTACATAACCAAGCAGACTGTGCATTGGAAGGGACAGGGGACCTTGGCAGTCAGGTAATTCTGACCCTCCTGCAGAGCGCAGAAGAGTTTCTGTGTTATCCAGGGCCCCAGAGCACACACCAAAAGACTAACATTGCCCCAAACAAGTTCTGCAAATGAACACCAGGAGAAAAGTTGACTCTTCTGTCAACAGTGGAAGACAGTAATGCTCTGTTCTAGATCACACAAATTATGAAAAGACAGTTACAGAGAATCTTTGCTAAGAGCACAGTGTCTTGGTTATTGGTAGCAATTTCAGTTACAGCCACAAGCTGTAGTGAGATTAGGCCACAGCAACACATTGCACAGCTGGGATGGGAAGAAAATTCACTGTCCCAAATACATTTCAGCAATAGAAGCATTGAAATGTGCAGAACCTGGATGCATCAAAATCCTGACACCAAAAAATCTGTTATTGACACCTAGCTGCAGCCAAGGCAAGGCAAAATGGCATTCACTTTCAACAACCACAATAAAAGTATAATTGTTACGAAGGTAAACACTAGGAAGGAGATTAAATCAAACAAAAAAAAAAAAAGGGAAAAAAACGCTGCCACTCATATCAGGGCAGCATTTTGAATTGCCTTTGCCATTTGAAACACTGACAAGCCAGAACCTGCAGAGAACACCGCTGGTAGTTAAGAACACAGAGCAAGACTGAGTCCTAGCCAACACACTGACATCACCTACTTAAGAGTGGCTTTTTTAGAGAGCAAATAGTGGAGAGAAAAAAGCAGAGCATCTCATATAGTAGTACACAGGAAGTGTCAGTGCCCCTGGAAGTTTCCAGAAATACCTGGTTAACATTTATACACTATTATCCTGGAAGTACTTTTAAGTTCCCCAAAATCCTCTGTTCTCATTGAGTAAAGTTTATAAAGAGGCAAGAGGAAAGTACAGTCTTTATAGCTGACCACCCCAAAGACAGCTAGAAAGTCACCTGAACAAACCAACTGCAAGGCTCAGTTGCTACATATTTTCTTCCAATTAACATGTGCTTGAAATAGAAGTAAAATTCCATGGCACTGGTTTTGCCTGAATTTGTCCTCTGAGTTATGACAATACAACAGTATAATACTCACCAAAAAAAAAAAAAAAAAAAAAAAAAAAGAAAAAAAAATCTTTCCAGGAGCCTTCAGTTAATGCTTACCATGAAAGTTTCCAACCCTGTAAAGAAGTATTTAATTATAGCTAAAGCAGTAAGTTGAACTTGGACACAGTGTAAATCAATATTGTGGGTATAACAGAAAAGACAGCCAAAAAGGATAATAAACTGCTTTTTAGTAAAGCTGTTAAAGAAAAGACTGTGACTTATAAGTAGTTTGTGTAAAAATTATATACAAGAGGGAAAACAACAGTTACTTTCCACTTTTGTGCAGCTTTTCTACGTAAATTTAATTCAAATAAATTAAATGTGCCAAGTAGAAATGACAGGCTGAATGCATCAAGTTAAGTGATAAATTCCTCCCTTCATGACTTCTTTTTATTTAATACTTTTAAACACAGGATTTTTTTTTAATTATTTTTGTATCATTCTTTTTCTTATTAACAACAACAGTTGATTCAAGGCCATTTTCCTTTCTCCTCAATGTCATTAGCAAACAGAGCTTCCACAGACAATGCTCAAGGATCAGTTTTCTCTAACATGACAGAACTTGAGGCAAGAATACAGAATTCTTCACAGCTCTTCTCCAGACACAGCTGCTGGGTCTCCTGTTGTCAGCCACATCAATACCTTTCTTGCCCCAAAACCTTAATTAGCTAAGACAAGTCTGTTCATGAGGCAGATCCAGATGGCAGGTTCCACTGCAATTTGGAGAATTATCCTTCTCCATACCACTATGCTTTCTTTGCATATATCAGTAGTGAATTTCAATGTGCAGCCATCAATTAATAAGTATCAAGTTGTCATCACTCTGTTGTCTGCAAAGAAAAAAATTCACAATTCTCCAATCAGCAAGAAATGCAACAAGGAAGTATCTACCCGTATGAGCTCAGTTTTGATCCTTTGTTCTCTGCTTACCCATTTCCAGACAAAACTCCTACTCCTGCACTGGACAATGATGCAAAACCTGCTACAGTAGCAAAAGCTCTAGATCTTCACTCCAACCACCAGCCTTGTGCCCTCAGTACTGCGCAGCATATCATGGTCTATATTTATTATGCTCAATAATAATTTTGCTCACATAAATCTCTTATTCTGCACAGTGATTTGCAGGTGAAACCTGAAGCTGGGCCTGGCTGGAATTCTTGTTAACTGGTTGGTTTTCATGTGCCCCCAGCAGCCACTGGGGATACCTGCCCATCATCATCTCACATGTTCCTTTCTTGGCTATGGGGTCCCCTTCTGCCAGGGTACACCAAAAGTATAAAAATGTACTTCACAAAAGCATCAGTATATAAGCAGACAACTATCCTCCTGCTAAAAGGGGATTTGTTACACCAGTTGTGATTAAGTGTTCCCATTTTGGTCTGCTCATTCTCCCATAGCCTGGCTTCCTTGCACAGCGCCCACAACCATTCTGTGCACAGGAATGGATCATCCTGGACTGTCTAGGGACAGTGACAAGGTCCCTCCTGTCTCTAACAGGGCTTCAGAGGTGTTATGTTGCCTCAGAAACAGAATTCAAAGCAGACCAGCAAGCACCAGATGAGACATTTGTCTCTCACCACCGCCTTAAAAAGGACCACTGCCACAATGCCAACAGGAAGATTTTTACCAGTGTGTTTCCAATATTCTGGCAGATGGTGTTCAAACAGCTTGCCTCAGACACAGCACAGTTTCGGGATTAAGCACCAACCTCTGGCTGAATCACCCTCTCACTTTCTACTACTCCAAGCTTAGCAAAGCTTTTTAGAAACAGACAGCTTGAAGCAAAGACTTGGTTTGCTCCAGAACCCTTGGTAGTTTCCTGCTATACTCCTCCACAGTCCTCTCATCAGCTTCTGCATAGCAGTTTTCATAAGAGTCTAACAGTTAAAACAAGTTTAAGCTGAAAACTGCTGCCTTTGCATCATCAGCTGACTAAAGATCTAACATGAAGTAAAGTACAGGAGGAACAACAGCATCCAAATATCAACAGGCTGAATTCTGAATACTCCAGCATTCGTGGAGCAGCATTTTCCAGTGAGAAGGTAGCTGCTGTACTTCTCAGGAAAACACTCATTAAAAAACACCCTACTGACCTCCTGCAGCAGCAGATGAGCGGAAAAGTTGTTCTGTCTTTTCTGTAGCCAGCGCTGCTATGGTCTTTTAGAAATTCATGTAAATCTGTTGCTGGAAAACCACTTTGTTGGTATTTCTGAAAGGAAAAGCATTTCATTTACAACACATGAGAAGTTGCTGGGCATGAAACATTCTAAAAGTTCCTCTAGAGCATGGCAGTTAAACAGATTATTTGGTTCAATAATTCAATATTGCTGTAGGAAGGAAAGACCCCATTCCCATCCTAGAAACACTACATAGCTTGCTTTGTTCCAACAATATAAGTGACAGAAAATTCACATTGCTCACAGATTCTCTTATGTTTTGTTTGCTGCCCATAAGGCCAAGCGAGTGACCTCAGGCCATAATGGTATTGATTCTCCCTTGTTCAGTGAGCTGCTGTGCTCACTGCAAGTGTCCTGGGCTCCCTTTCCCTAAAACCTCTAATTCTGGATGTGAAGGGTTCAGTGTGACTATTCAATATTGCCATGCTGAAGAAATGCTATGAAAAAATACAAGTTCAGCATACTGAAACAGCTCCCAGCTGATCCATGTAAAATGCTCAGGGGGAAGAGTCACTAAAACACCATTTTGCAGATCAGACCATCCAGTAGACTAAGAAGCACAGACAATTAAGCTATATTTCCAGGTGCTTCAAGAGCAAAACTCTTGCTTGGTCTGGAAGTTGTAGTTCATGTCAGACCAGCCTTGTTTTGCTGGCCTGTGTGTGACACCAAGACAAGAACGAGATGAGAGCTGAAGGGTGTGATCCACATTGCCCTCCCACTGGTCACTGAGCCTACCAGCAGCACAGAGGGCAGAGAGCATCTGAGGTCAAGAACAGAAGGTAATTACTGAAAACTGAGGTTCACTTTCAGACAGTCCATACTGGAAATGGATGGCACAATTTTAACTTGAACGAGAAGTAGTGCGCCTCTCAGAAGACATTTTCTTTTAACCACACATTTCTAAGCAGCACATTAAGGAGGCCTGGACACCTACATGACTTTAGAGTTATCTGCTTGAACCTTTCAAAACTCCTGCCAAAGGCACGTCTCTGAGACATTAGCAAACCCAGCCACCCTTCCAATTTTGCCACAGACTAAATGAAAAGATTTTCATAATCTCATCACACATCAGAAGCAATAGTAGATGGTATGGTGTTGAGCAATTAACAAGAATGAATACAAAACTGAAGTGTAGCAGAAAACTACTAAATGCTTTACCTTTATGGTGTCATAGGAGTCAGTAATGAGTGCAATAAAAAGGCTGAGGATCATGTATATAAACAGACTAATGAAGGAGTACAGATATAACCGGCTGAACATCCACACCAGGGAACTCTTCTCTTGGATTTGAGCAAATGTGGCAAACATATCATCACCATTGACCAAAGAAAACAGACATTCAGCCACTGTGTTCAGATCTTCAAACTAGAAAAGGAGTACAAATTATTAGCAGAATGTGAAGATCAATCAAGACTCAAAGATTGAGTTTTACTCAAAGCAGAGAAAAAAGCCAACTCAGGCAATTAAATGCTACCACCCTTCCCTGTACATTCAGGCCAAAATATGCATCAGTAATAGAAACATGTAGAAATACCATCTTGACTACGCATGATGTGTTGAGATAAGACATAAGAATATTTATTATCAAGAAATAAAACTTGTGATGCTCAACAGGCAGAACAGTAAATAATTGACCACCACAGAAAGCTACTGAATTATAAGCAATTCTGGACCTGCAGAAAAGTGTCATTCCATTTCCCAAAGCACGGCTGAAGTGATTTCACAGAATCTATACAGTGGTAGTATGCTGGGAACACAATCCACATTCTCTGGCTTCCCAGCTCAGCAGCATTACTGGAGTGTGGGTAATAAATCAATACTGTGTAAGGGGCTGAAGTCAGCACATAGCCTTCAGAACTCAAATGGTCCAAACTGAATTAACAATCTGTCACTCTGTGAGCTGTGAATACAAGCTATAGTTGTATTATGAAGCTACCGGAGCACACCCTGTACAAAAATCATGGTTTAATTGCAAGGGCAGTCTCTTAAACTCCAAACTCCATTTCCCCAAACTGGAATGGGTCCTGAAGCTACCAGGTAAGCCCACTTCCCATTTTGCTCTGCCCTTCCAAGTAACTGGATTTCTTAACTATAATTTATTGGACAATATGAATTAATAGCCACATTAAAACATTGTGCATTATCAATGAACTAACACAATTGTGGCCCTACAATGAAAACAAGATGTCAAGAGGTATATGCTTGTAAGGAGAATTTATTGGTGCACAGGAACAGCAGGTCTGGTTTACACCTATGGCTTATTTTATTATTTTTTTTTAATTGAATTTTAAAGCCATTGTGAAACTCAGCAGTACATTATCCAGGAAGAAAGGAGGCATGGCACACATAACACAGAGAGAGACCTGCTGAGGACTGCTCACCTGGAAGCCCCTGGACTGACACAGCACAAAATGCAGGATACCCACTCCCTCTCTCTGACTGTAGTAGAGGGTGTATTTCTATATTTGTGAGCATAAGGAGCTCTCCAGTGATTCTGCACATCGGGGAAGACTCTTCCCATCTCTTCCAGGATGGCTCAGTGGCTGGAGAGCCCCTGGGAGCCAGCCCAGGGCTGGCCTGCCTTGCACAGTGCCACATTGCCTTCCTGTGGGACACTGGGGAACTGGCAGGAATGGGAATCCTGCCCAGCTCCAGCTGCTTTCCTTGACATTGATACACGATATTTAGGCAAGAGGTAACATTGTCATAGATACGCATGTTGCTGACTGTCCTTCCTTTGGCTCAGATAACATACTTGTGGCAGGGAAGTTACAACAGTAATTACGCTGTGCCTTAAAATGTTATAAACAATTGAGCCTGTAGCGTGGCAAAAGATCCCACTGCATCCAGCATTCCCCAGAGAAATGTATTGTCATCAGCTGGGAATGTGCAGGCTGAACGCTTGCACTGCCCAAAGGAGAGAATCACAGTAAGCTGGAGCAGTGCAAGCTCTGGGGGCAGAGCAAGCTGCAAAAGCACTGCAACATGTCTGTCACACACACTGTGTGCACCCAGAGACCAAGAATGAGAAATCAGACATTTGTTAGTCATTAATGGGCATTCAGAATTTGCCACGACAGGAATCTGCTCTGTTCAAACTGTCACACTGAGCATCTGCCAAGGGGAAAAGCAAACAAGCTTTAGGGTTGTTTTGGCTTGTGTTCTACAGTATACAAAGCCTTACTCCTGCACCCAGGTTTCAGACAAGACATACCAGGCACACACTTTGATACAAACCTTAAGAAAACAAACAAACAAACCCACAACACACCCCCACACAGGAAGCAAAGCAAACAAGACAAGCATTCATCCATCCCTTTATGAGTCACAATTTAGGAGCTGAAGTTACATGGCACGGGGAAGATTTGGAAAAACAAGGCCAGAGCCAGAGATTTTTTTTAAAGAAAAAAAAAAAGTTCCATCGAACTATTTAGTGCCTCTTTAACCCAGCTGAAGTGGGATTGCCAGAAGAGGGCAGAAGAGACAGACCAATGCACGTGGCCTGGGCAAAGCATCCCCTCACCACAAACAGCCTGGTGCTGGAGATCACCCTGACTTCGAGCACACAGTAAAAGCAAGAGTAGTTATTTTGTTAAAAGGAGCAGGTAGAAGGAGGTACAGATGGAATGAGAAACACTCCCATGTTCACATTACAGCTTTTAAACAGACATTTTCATTTAAGACACATTTCGCTTGGTTTGGCTAGGAGCTACATACACACACACAGATATTCCCGTCATTACACCACAAAAGGAGGGATACTGCTGATGTACCTTCTCATGATAAGGTCCCAGGACAATCCAACCACAGAAAGTATAGCCAAGATAGATCATCCCAGCACAACAACAAAACCGCAGCACTTTCGGCAACGATGCCTGCATAGTCAAAATGAGCACCTACAAGTCAGAGCAGAGCAAAGAAGGGGAAAAAGCAAAAAAAGAATTAGAGAGAGAGCTGGAAAAAAGTGACATGTATATATACATATATATATGCTTTAATTTTTAGACATTTGATTCTCTCCTTACATTGTAGGTTTGAAAATATCCCAGGTATCGGATGACTCCAACCCAGACAAACAAAGTTGATGTTCCAAGTAAAATGCTGCAGACATCATAACTTGTGAGGTTCTGAGGGATCCAAACAGAGCAGGTGGTCAAGTTACAAAGCAGTAGATATGTCTGCTTGACTGCTATTCAAGTTCCAGCAGTTCAAACAAACAAAGCAGGGCAGCCTAATACAGAAAGCCTGTTGCAACATCACAAAAATCAGATCAATGTGAACTGCAGTTATTTACTGAGATCATCCAAACACAACAGTGCTGCAGATGGATATGCTGATATTCTTGAAATTTTGCATGGAGTGCAAAGTCTGGAAGAAAAACGTCCTTAGTTTGGTTACAACACAGTTTCAAAATTAGATTGGATAACTCAAAATTTTTGTTTAAAAAGAGGGTTACTATTTGCTGTTAGGCAAAGAAGCTCTCGTTCACTATTTAAAAAACATGAGCCATCATTTAAACAGAAAGTGACCCTTGGGACTACAGCCCTTTCCATGCTTACATGCATTTAAATCTCTGAACAGGTTCTCTGCCAGCAGATCAGAACCTGAGCATTGTTTTATTACAGATTTTACTACAACCAAATCTACCGGCACTTTACTTTAGAAGGCTAGAGCTGGTTGCAGTAAGTACAAGAGAGACATCTAGCTCAAGTTTTCCTGCTCTCAATCCCCACCTCAGCCTGCAGCCAGTGACTCCCAAGTGCTTCCTCTGAAGGCCACTCTGGGATCTGCCCTTTGAGCCTCAGTGCACATGAAGCAGGAGCAGCACACCACCTACTCTGCTTTTCCCAGAATACAAAGTTTTGTGAACACATGAATTGTTGACACACATCTATTGAAGATTTAAAAAAAAAATTGAAAAAAGCCAAAAAACCAACCCCAAAAGCCTCCTGAAGAGCTGCCAGCTGGACAAAGCACATTGATTTCAGCAAGTCCAGGCAGGGAGGTCAAGGATGAGCAGGTCACACTGTCTGTGCCTCTGCTTGCCAGGAAAGCAAGCTGTGACAATCCCTCAAGCCATCAAGAGCCCTGCTTCATTCAAGGGGAGGACTCGTGGTTTCCCAGTCCTGCACATGCTGCTTCTTACAGAACAAAAACTCAAATTGTTGGGTCTTCCTGTTAGGAACTGTCCACCCACATACCAGGAATTAGGGGTCTTAGCACTGTGGAAATAAGATGTTTAAATGGCTTACATGGTCTCACTGAAAGACTCTGGGGAAGAGTGAATGAAAGTAGTTATTAGATAAACTAGGAAATGGACTGAAATAAGCAAACAGATGACTATTGACTATTATGGCTCACTTCCACCTGTCCCCAAATTAAAGCACATTACACATGGTTGTAGCAAGATTAGTATTTTAGCTAAGTATGAAATTCTTACCTTGGCTTTTATTTCCATTTTTAGGATTGACCCAATGATTGTCATCACATCACTGATAATTACCAGGACATACCACCCGTTCAGGAACTCCAGGCGGTCAGCATAGCAGACGCGGCGCTTGTATTTCTCCAGGAAGAAATTCACAAATCTCTGTTGACAAGCATTTAGATGTTTAGCTACAGGTCGCCTTGGATGAAAAATGTGGCAATGTTCAAGTTCCATACAACAGTATTCACTGGAATAGTAGTTTAAAACTAAATCTCAATAGCAACAGAACTAAATAGGAAAAAAACTAAGACGGATTTAGGCCAGTGAAAATGAACTTTCCACAGAACACTTGATTTCATAACCCATTCCCACTAACCTGACCATGGCCTGTTATCTCCTTTACTATAAGTGCTGTCCTCCTCTAACAGAGCAAGGCCACCCAACTAAAGAAGGGAAAAAGCACTCAAATGCAGCTACAGGGCAAGAGCTCTCATTTCCAATAGAGCAAACAATATCACCTCTATGCCCAGCACAGCCCATCTGCTTTCACTTGCTCTTTTTGCTCAGGAATAAATGTGAAGTGCCTATTCCTGAGAGCAGTTTGACAATGCCTCTGTTGAATCATGTCCTCTTGACTCTTGGTCTTGTTTCCAAGCTACAAAAAGGATATATTGAGCTAGATAAACAAGTATTTGTTTTCATATCCTACCAACCGTGGACTCTTCTAACTCTCATCAGCCACATGCTTACAAAAATCAACAAAACAAAATTTTAATTGTTGCAATAGCCCTTCAGCTCACCTTTATTACTGAATTATGCATGCTCCCTCAGCTGGTAATTAGACACAAAATAAACTACTCAGGAACAGGTAGTTGAAAGAAATCACCGGACAGAGATGCGAGCCAAGGCACTTTGAGGTTATTCAGAATATTCTATAAATTACCACTTCAATATCAGTACAACATGGCAGTATCAGAGAAAAGCTGGCTTTGCTGAGGCAAAAGGCAGGCCACTTGTCCTATTTAATAATCAAGATACTATATAGCACACTCAAAAATATTGTTCCATCACAGTCCTTTACAGCAAGTCACCACATGGGAGAAGCAGTGGCATAGTCTGTCACAGCTGCTGTTTCTTTAAGGGTCCTTTAGTGCACATTCCTGAGCTGTCAGACCAAGCCTTGACACTGGAAATACATGGCAGATGCCAGCCTTTGTTCATACTTTTTGCCAGCAGTGGCAAAAAAAAAGCCAACACAAAACCCAAACTTTCAGAAATAGTACGCTTCAATCAGTTAGAAGAAAAATAAATTGAAAGCTGTAGGAGGCTTCAGTTGGAAATTTATCCAGTGTTAGTGGATTAAATTGAGTTATCTCAGAGCAGCACAACAATTAAAAATCTATGGAAGAAACATTCACCCTCCTTGCAGGTGGAGCTCACTGCTAACACACACTGGCATGCAGAGATGATCACGTCAACTCACAACACCCTCACAAAAGGAATTATTTCCTAGCTCCTGAACAGCAAGAGGTAATGAATTGCTTTAGGCAAGTTGCATTGTCTTACAGGCAGGGGGATGAACAGGCTGGGGAATGTCTTGCTGGGCAGACTGCTACAGAGCAGGGAAAGCAAAGGGAGACCCATAACTGCTGTTCTGCAAACACACATGCACCATACTTACCTGAGTTAAATATGTGCCAGTCTTTGCATTCCTGAATGTCGGTGTCACTATCAAAATAGACCTTGATTTTTCCACTGTGGGCTCTATTATTGAAAGTTATCTGAAAATACAGAGCTACATCAGGAACAGTAGTAAGTCTGCATTCCAGAAAAATTAATCCTGCTAAGTGCCTTGGACACAGCATGCATTAATACTGTTGATCAGATAGGCTTTAAGAAAGTTGCCCCCATAAATGATGGTGCAGGCATAATTTGAGTAGATCACATCTATTGCCTAATGAGCAGTATTCCAAGAGGCCAAACTTCACACTCAGTCTTTAGATGAGGAACAATTCCTTATCCCTCTCTCAGGTTATGAGGTTACCAACTGGAATATGTTACAAAGCAACATTGTCCCATGGCAACAGCACTTCAGCAGCCTTTGGGAAGGAGGGGAAAGAGCCAGCACATACTCAGCTGTGCTTCTCCTGCAGGCCAGATGTGAGGATGACACCTACACCTTAGCCTAAGCTCTCCTTGCATATTCAGGGTTGGAAGTGCCACAGCCCATTTTCACTTACAGTGTTTTGAAATGCATAGCAGTCAGGCAATTCACGAGCATGGATTGTCTGAAGAGCAATGCCTTTCAGCTTGAAGGAGATTTCAACCTGTATAAGCCTGGATATTTGAAAAATTGCACAAAGATATTTAAATATCACAGAATATCACACTGCACAAATCAGAATCCACCACATGAATATAAGAGAACAAGTCAGAATAATTTTTAAAAACTCCATCACTTTACCTGTAAAATTCAAGATTGAAAAAAGAAGAGTTCAGCTTCAGTTCAACCTTCTTACCAGTTAGTTCCTTTGGCTTTAAAAGGATACATTCTGGAAAGACAAGAGGAAAATATGTTATAAAAACTTCACATTGAAAATAGCATTAAACTGAGATGATTAGTGTGTATAGCAAGTCCTAATCAGGCAAAACATTAATTTTGAGAAAAGCTATTCAGAAGCCCAGCTAGTGGGGTCAGAAGCAGGTTTGTGTACCAGCTTGTGAGCAGCCAGGACTCAGCTGTGAGAGGCAGTAAGGGCACCCACCCATGGAAGGTGCAGACTGACCAGCATCCAGAATTCCCTGTTTGAACCTCCTGCACAGAGGGGGAACAGGTGTGTTTAACAAAAAGAACAACAAAACACCACCTCAGCATCAACTGCAAAGATTTGTAGGTAGTTGAAGAGAGCCTCTTATAATCACAGCTGTCTTTTCTAGACAGGTGCTAAAAACCAAGAGGGAAATAGGCAAGAAGTATGCTAATGTTCCTGTGATTGCTACACAAAAAGCTATTGGTTTTAAGCTTTAGAACTAGGATTCAAGTACACCACAGCACAACATTTTAAGTGCAACAGTACTGTACCTGTTTCAGTAGAAACATCTATGCTCAGTGTATCATTGGAAGGAAGCATTGTGCCTCTCTTGTACTGCTGTTTACAGATTTTTAGACCTGATTCTTCATGCTCATAACCAAGTGTCCCCAGGGATATGTTCTTTAAGTGCCTGTACTAGTTTAAAAATAAAAACAGAAGTAGAAGTTAGAGAAAGTAATTTTTTTTTTGCACTAGAAAGCAAATTGAAACCTCAAAGTTATATGTAACAATACAGGCTTTTGAATGAAAAATCTTTCACATAAAAGCTTCCCAGTCAATTTACAGACAAGAGGGCTGCTGGCCACTAATTAGCAGTGATCAGCATCCTGGTGACACAGTGGCGAGGAGCCCTGTGCCTACTGGGCTGGCTGCAGATGGTCACCCACGCCACCCACATGTCAGAGAGCTGCTCATTAGATGCCTGCAGAGACCTCAGGGCAGTATTGCTGCTAGCCACACACCCCCAGGGGTAGCTTCACCTATGAAGTGACAGTTTTCACACCACCTGAAACTCAGTCGTTGTACACGTGGTCCAAGTCATGGTTCCTATCAAATCCATGTCAAGACCACACCCAAAGCAGCTCCCTGTGTGAATATAGAAGAGGGAAGCCATGCATTCACTGCATAATCAGCAACCAGGGAACAGAGCTTGAGCAGCCTCCAAAAGTAACTTAACCTGCATGCTTTACACAAGCACAGAAGCAGCTGAGAACATGCCAGTGAGAAAGGTACGTTCTTTTTCCACTTACTCCAAATATAGCACAAGTCACCTTCTTCATTTGCAAAATACTCTTGAAAACAAGGACTAACAGTGGAAGCAAATGAAGCTGTGCCAAACCAAGCATTGTCCAAACATGGATCAGCCCTGAGCAACACCAAGAGCTACATTCCAGCCCAGTCCTCTCCAGGCTTGCTTCCCACAGAGCCTTGGTGCCTACTGGAAGCAAAATACACCCTGTGGATCCCTGGAGTCACACCTTCCACTCCTGCACAAGTGAGGCAAGCCCCCAGGGCACTTCTGGTGGCCCTTGGCTCCTCAACAGCTGATCAACGGACCAACCATGAAGGACAGGAGATCAATGGACCAGCCATGAAGGACAGGAGATCAATGGACCAACCACGAAGGACAGGAGATCACTGACTGACCATGAAGGACAGGAGATCAATGGACCAGCCATGAAGGACAGGAGATCACTGACTGACCATGAAGGACAGGAGATCGCTGACTGACCATGAAGGACAGGAGATCAACGGACTAGCCATGAAGGACAGGAGATCAACGGACCAGCCATGAAGGACAGGAGATCAATGGACCAACCATGAAGGCAGCTGCCTGCCAGCTCAGTTTCCCAAGAGCTAACACTGTCCAAGAGAAGCCAGACAGAGCCATGGCCTTTTGGGGAAGAAGGTAGGAACACACAGCAATTCCTTAGTTTTTATCATTACCTGTCCTAACAAAAGGACTCAGGGCAGCGTACAGCAGTGGTCTGCTCCCAAGAAAGCATTTAGCTCTCTTGGAGGCCTGAAGTAAATAAACATGGGAAATCAGGCAAGGTTTCTCATTACTTAAAAATTTGTTCAACTGGCTTTGACAAAGATTAGTCCCTTTTCCCGTTTAACATGGATTTTTTTATCATGCATCATTCATTGTCATCCTATTTCCCCCTTCCTATGGGCATTGTGGCCACTAGCCCATCTCACCAGTGACATCCCACCAGCCACCAAGAACCACACACTGCATGCCCAGGAGTGGAACTGCAACAGGAACTGCCACACTGGTATGCAAAGCTCTGCCTTGCAGTGCCACTTCGAGGACACCGTTCAGACAGCCAGGAGCAAAGCACGGCCTCCTCACCCTGCCAGCATCTGAGCTCAGAGCAAGCCAAGGAAGCCACATCTGACTAAGGCAGGTCAAGTGAGTGGAAACAGCAGTTAGTCACAGCTCCTCATCCCACTGAGGACATCTCCAGAGCACTGCCTGCAGCAGCTGCTGCCCCAGCCACGTGTGCTCTCAGGCTCTGCCCTCCTGACAGACAGCACGAGGTGCTGGGCTACCCACACACCACTTCCAAACAACACCACAAAACAATAAAAGCAACATTCCTGCTTATAAATTTCCAAACAGCCTCAGAGCAGGCAGCAGAATATCCTGGCCTTACAGCCACAGGGCAGAGCACAAGAGTAACAACTTCACACAGCTTTGTGTGAAGCAAATAGCTGCAGTTGCTATTACACTTGTTATAATAATATAAATTTTAAATTTGTATTAGAAACTTTGTAAAAGGAACTCTAGCTTGAACCCAGTAGAGAAGCAAGGGAAACCTGTGTACTCTTCCAAGTGTAAATGTATGTTTGGGCTTTAATGTTGGTGGTCTGTTTGGGGTTTTTTTCCAAAGTGTTAGAATATCCCCAGTGGTATATTACACAAAGGCTAAAATTCAGTTTTTACAACTCCAGCTTTGCTGTGCACAATTACTGTTTCCTGTAATGTCATTTCCTTCTGCTTTACCCATCCAAGCATGCATTTCAAAAACACAAACCAGAACACCAAATCCCATGTCCTCTAGCTGCCCATCTCAAAATTTAAAAAAAAAAAAAAAAAAAAAGCTTTGCTTTTAGCTTGGGAGTCATCTAGATTGCCTCTTCCCACAAGGCACCCTCTAAAGACAGACAAAAAAAGGCAACAATAGTCAATGTTCACCTGAAAGCATGCTTTTTGAATTCTTACATGCAATATAAAAGTCTCAGGAATGGCACAGGACACTAAAGAACCCAGATTTCACAATTTAAATCTCCTTAAAGGATATGACTATATTTATTCCACACAGACATTGTATGAAGAGACCTTTTTCTGATGCCTGGCTCATTCTTGAGGATATAAAGCTATTATTTCTCTACTGTCTTGTATCTGGAATTCACCTCAGCCTTAGTGCCTACAAAAGAAGGAAAGTGAAACAAAGCAAGCAAGGAAGGAAAATAAATTAAAAAGAAAGCATGGCTTATTGCAGGAACAGTAGCAATATGGAGAGTTCAAAGAAAGACAGAGAAAACTACTTCACCATTCATTTCAAATGGCAGTAATGAGAGTCTTGGGTCTTGTCCAGCACTTTTGGCATGCTGCTGGCTCTGCTGCAGCTTACAGGAGAGCCCAGGAGAGCAGCAAGCCCCCACGAGGGGCTGATTGAGAGGGGTTTGGCCCTTCACAGCCCTGAAACTCTCAGATGCTGCTGGGCACAGCTGCACTGGCAACACTGCTTTAATCCAGGTGCCAGAGCTCATGTGCCAAGGCCAGTGAAAATGAAAGGTGGTTTAAAGCCGCTTTTTATTCATCCTGTGTTAGTAATTTCCGGGTTTATCATCATTCCCAACACAACACACACTTCATATCCCAGAGTCTTTCATCTCGGGATTTCCAAATGTATTAATACTAAATACAAAAACTTTTACAGAATTTTCACCCTAGATTTACTCACTTTTCTCTGACAATTATAAAGGGACTCTTTTAAAATATCATCCCTAATCAGAGTGAATGCCTCTACACTCCTAACTACCATATTCCCCATTTTGAGGCCTCAAGCCCTCACCACAAAGCTCTCAGTTCAGGAGAGCTGTTAAGGACACATTGTTTTAAAGCATGCATAGGTATATTCAGGCTCATAGGGCTTCAAAGTAAGACCTAAACTGAGGTTCCAGTCCATGCAAGATGAAAAATTTTCAAATTTTCTGGATTTTGGTATTAAGAACTACCTGAGTAAAATTCTGGTTTGGATTCATCTCCAAGAGATGAAAACTCAGCTACAACACAAACTTGAGGAAATCCCCTTTTCACTGATTCAGTGAAACACCAAACTGAAATCCAAAAATGGAAACAGAAAATCAGAAACTTAGCAGACGTTTATAGCTGTAGCTTCAGCTTTAACACAGTTATCAACACATACTCACACCTACCTGATTAATAACATAAAAAATGCTATCATAAGCATCCTGTTGTGTATATATACTGCAGCTGTAGTCGTCTTCATCAGCTCCAGAATAGCCCTTCAGGAATAGGTGTTTAAAAGCAACAATGTTTTCCTCTTTGAATGAGACCACCAGCTGGTTACTCAAACCAAAAAAAACAAGCTGACAAGAGAAAAAAAAAATGGATTTGAATTTTCAACAGTGGTCAAGCAGCAGCACTTTGGAAACAGCTTTAAATTACAATAAGTACAAACCAGACAGGTGCCTGTTGCTGTAAGTCTGGCAGGAGCAGAGCACCCTTTAACCAATGGCATTACCAAAGATTACCAAACCAAGGATATCACATGCAGGGCAAATGAAACAGAATCTAACTGCAGCACCTGAACAGACAGCTCCACCACTTGCAGCTTTTACATATCGTGGACCAACAACTCCAACTGGGATTTGCAAAAACCTTTGTGGAGGATGCAAATGGAGACAAGCTAAAACAGCACAACTTGCTGCCCCTGAAATGCTCTGCTTTGCAATGGACAAATCCCTGCACCTTTCCTACCTCGGGCATGGCACAGGATTAGAGCAATAGAAAGCCTCACCTGCCTGACCCAGGTGCTGCCTAAGGAGGATATAACAAGCAGGAACAGCAAACAGCAGACTTACTACTAAACACTTGTGTTCCTCTGCTATTTGGATGGCCCCATTTCCACCACTACCACCAAGGAAAACATAAATAGAGCCTAGAAACTGCTTGGTTTTCCACAAGAGCTTCTTCATAGGCACAGTAGGAGGAGGACACCCCCAAGCCCCAGCCATGTGCCTGACAGCTGAGCAAAACCAAGGGCTTACAAGAACAGTCTCAAGGAGCAGTCCAGAAAAATCTTGTGGCCTTTGAAAACCAAGCAGCAGAGCACCCCTTCTGCTCACAAAGGACAGTGGGAGACTGGGGCAGCAGACAGAAAAATCACATGTTCAGTGATACCCCCAAAAATGGAAGGCAGCGGGTTAGGACAGATGGCAGTACTCAACCTCTCCAGAGACATGTAAAGTTTAGACATGTGAGGTCTTTAAAGGAAGAGTAACAACCCAGCATGTATATTTAGCTGCTCTTGCAAGCTGTCAGATATCAGTCTTGCATTTCAAAGGCTCAGAAAAAGTAATTTCTACCTATGTGTGTGTCCCATTTTGCTTTCCTCCACATGCAGTCCCTGTTAGAGGACTGTACCACAACCAAATGCACTGTGATACCAGTGCAGTTCACAAACACCCTCTTCTTTGCCTCCACGAAGTATCTCAAACAGTACATGACTTTTCTAATGCATTGTCTGACGACAGAAGCAAGAGGCACATCCAGTTCCTGCAGCCCAGCCATCCCATCATCATCAGAAACCATAGCAGCTTCACATTGAATGTGGACACCTTAATTTTCTGATTAGATATCAAGAAATAGCACTTTTGAAATAGTCCAGTGAAACTGTAATCTAAGAATGTCACAGTACTGTGACAACAAGCCTGAAGACAGTGCTGAATTTCATGGGAAGAGTAACTTGCTTTAAAGTATGTCAAAAATGGCAAAATTTTGACATAACACTTTAAAGCAAATTACTGCCCTAAAAAAATACTTTAAAGCAATGACTGCCCTAAAAATCTCCAGGAGGCTTTTATAACATACGTTATTCTTCCCCCTTGAAACACCTTTCATAGTATTTTTTTTTCTTTATGGACTGAAGTGGGAGGTTGAAGCCAGTAACAAGTACCCAGGGTTGGCAAAGGCCCAGAAGCACAGACCTGCTTCTCTTGTACATCATTGCTACCCTAAGAGTAAAACCAGAGGATTACCTGTGTCGTAACCATAAGTATCTTCAAAATCTGCAAAGCCAGTTTCCATGGTATCTGACGTCTTGCTCTGTATTTTTCACATGGGTTCATGAAGTAAAACTTCAAATCCTCTTTCAAAGTTGTCTCTTTTAGATCTAAATCTGACTGAGTCATCATGTTTCTGCTACAAAAAACATATTAATTAGAAACCAAGAGAACATTTTGGCAGAAAATTTCCTCATTGCAGTATCACCTCAGATCACCACACGACATAAAAGGTCCAAAATAGTTTTGGGGTTACCTTATGGAAATGTAAAAATATTTTCCTGTGATCACATCATTAAAAATCATTCAAACACATCTGATCATTAAAACACACCATTTAGACAAATAATAAATAGGCATTAAATAAGAGGGTCTGTAATAGAAAGAAATGTAGACTTGCTATTGCTCCCTTAAAAATCTATCTGAAACAAAGAGGGACCAATGTTAACATATTTGTCTGAATAACCCAAATTCTAGCAGAAGAAAAAGGTGTCTCAAAGATTAAACCAGAGCAGGCTTTACACACACTTCTCTTATGAACATGCAGCTTCAAGGGCTAAATTCATAGGCATTTATTTATTTAAATACCTGGGCATTCAAAAATCAGAGGACTAAGTACAGAGGACTGTAATTGTGTTTTAAATCACCTTAAGTTTCTCCTTTTCAACTGAATGGGACATTGAAACAACTTTACCCATCTCCTAATAATTTTAACCCTGTTTGCCAGTGTCATAATTTTTCGGAACTTTCCTACTTCACACATAGATCAGATCACAACTTGTAATTTTTTTTCTCTCTTTACAGGTTAAGAGTATCATATCTGACACCAGGTGATTATCAGTCCCATTGACAATTTGGAATGTTGTTCTCAATGCTCTGAATTTTATAAAGGATTACATTTTGTCTGAGGCTCAAAACCGAATGCATCGATTCCAAGTTTTCAGATACTTGGAATACTTTTTCATTTTTACTTTTTCTGTCCTCACCTGTCTGAAGTGCACAGATATTTAAGCTCAAACTGTAGATCACAAAGGACACTTGATTTGTTAGAACCAGCTGTCCCACAAGAAGAGAAATTTCAGTTAAAGAAGAACAGTAAAGCTGACACTGTGGTGTTTCCTCAGAAGAGGAAGTGAAAACAACAAAAAAATCTATTTTAATATTAAAAGCTCAAAAGTTATCTTTCCTACCCAGCCTTAAATCAATCTTTCATGAAGATGATGAGAGGCAGAATGACTTTGGTTTTTGAAGCAGATGTCCCACAAGAAGAGAAATTTCAGTTAAAGAAGAACAGTAAAGCTGACACTGTGGTGTTTCCTCAGAAGAGGAAGTGAAAACAACAAAAAAATCTATTTTAATATTAAAAGCTCAAAAGTTATCTTTCCTACCCAGCCTTAAATCAATCTTTCATGAAGATGATGAGAGGTTTTTGAAGCAGGAAAAACATGGCCAGTTTCCAAGAAAAAGAAACTGTGGGCACCATCCCTATTTAAACATATAATAAAAACATTCCGGACTAGCTTTAGTAACATCTAAGATGCAAGAACTTTGAAAGGTGCAAACACACCTGGCAGAAGCGCATGTGCTAGTTACAGCTGTGAGCACTGGTTAGGGACACAGGGACACACACGCTCCCGTCCTGCACTGACACCAGACACGGCTGCTCCTGCACCAGCCTCCCTCCAGCAGGCAGAGCGTGGGCACACAGTGAGCAAGAGCTAACCCACAGTGAAAGGGACAGGAGGAGGTGGGAAAGAAAGAGGAAACAGGGTTAAGCCAAATCTGGTCACATTTTAAAGCATGAAGGCATGACACAAGAACCTCTCCAAGACTTCAGCAAGACCCTTCCTTAAGCTTCCAGTAAAAGCATATCAGAAGTGACAAATCTTTAAAAATAAAAAAACCAAACAAACACAGGCAAAAACCCTCACAAATCAAACAGCAAACTTTATAACAAGAAGTTTTTTTAAATATTCAAATACATAGCAGGAAATTTGTCAAAGAAAGCAGCACTTTTTTTTTTTTTTTTTGCTTAAGAGATCAAAGATTCAAGCCTGTATCACTGCTGAACTTTGTCTTCCAATTAAAAAAACCAGTCATTCTCTGGTGTAGTATTTAAGAAAGAATTCATTTTTAAACAGGTGAAACAGGTAACAGGACAACAGGTGAAACAGATCAACTGGTTTTGAATTCATTCATTTCTAGGACAGACTAAAAATTACATCCAAACAGACCACATTAAATCAGCAGAACTAGAACCTCCAACCAAAGCACTGAAAGTTTAAAAGCTCCAAGAGACTACCAGTGATTTACCATATTTAAAACAAACCAGCTAATTCTACCCCACGGTCATTAGCCTAATAATCTAAACCTAATTGAAGCAAAGTACCCAGCGCAGGGCAGAGCAATGAAGCAATTAAGTTCTGACACAGTGGTGTAATTAACACCACTTAATGGGTTTCCATTGCGTCTTCTGTGAAGCACTGACACAATCAAATTTTCGGCGAATGAAGACTAACTGCACAATGCATGGTGAGGTGCACATCCAGGTGTCTCGTATATTACAACTGGTACTAACTCAGCTCTAGCAGCTGCACTGCCGTAACCAACACTTCACTGCTGTAGCTGGCAGCACGGTCTGTTGTAGCATTTTAGAGCTCAACATTCCACTCAAGAAAGAGGTTTCAACAGTAAGGACTACAATTTACAGCGACCTACTCATGAAATACACTTGTAGTAGTTAGCTCTTCACCCAGCAGAAAAAGCAGAAAAATTGAACCAAGTGGCTAAAGTGCGCTCAGCAAGAGAGCAGTCACTTTCTTTAATGAGTAACTCACTAGTGTAGCGACACTAACAGCGTCCATCAGAGCTCCGTATCAGCGACATTTATCTGCTTGAGCTCTGTATCTTGGAGAGGTATTAACGAGAACCCTGGGGTCCTAAGGGGGCAAGAAGGAGAGAAAAAAAAAAAACCACAAAACCAAAAACGGGAAAAAAGCCATCACTGAGTTGAGCTCTACGTGTCAGTCTGGGGAACCCCAGCTTCACTTTCCCGATCTGTACTAAGCTCAGCACCCTGCCAGAGGACGGCACCGCTTCACTCTTCTCAGAAACGTCGGGGAAAGCCCTCCCGTTCAGGGCTCCCACCGTCACCCCCCGCTCGGCTGCCGCGGGAGGAGCGGCCGCAGCCGGGCCCGCACGGAGCGCTGCGCTGCGGGCGGAGGGCAGGACCTACCTGTGCGGCAGCCGAGACACGCGTGTGCCACGCCGGCCCGAGAGGGACACGCGTGTGCCGCGCCCGCCCGAGAGGGACACGCGTGTGCCGCGCCAGCCCCCAACGCGTGTGCCGCGCCCGCCGCCCACCTGTGTCCGGCGGCGGCAGCGCCCTCCCGAGCGGCTCCCCGCCGTCCCCGTGCCCCCGGCGCTATCGCGGCCCCGGCCGGAGGATGGGACAGCCCGGCCCGGCCCGGCCCGCTGGCGAAGCAGCGCCCTGACCCCGCTGCCCTCCGGGCGGGCTGGCCCGAGGGCTCGGCACCGCGCCCACCCCGGCTCAGCCCGGCCCGCTTCCCTCACCCGCTGGCGGCGGCCCGCCCGCCGGGGAGGGACTTGAGGGGGATCTCCATGGGCCGCGGGACTCGGCGGAGCAGCCCCGGCCCCGCAGCCTGCCCCACCGCCTTTATGGGCCCGGCGGAGGAGGGCGCCCGCCGCCCACGTGCCCTGCGGGCCCCGCTGCCCCGGCCCCGAGCGCGGCTCTGCCTGCCAGTGAGGCTCGCTGCTCTCGGGCACATGGCCCGCGCGGGGCTGGTGTGACTCTTGGGGATGTCCTGTGCAGGGCTGGGAGTTGGACTGGATCATCCTGGTGGGTCCCCTCCAACTCAGCATAATCTCTGATTCTGTCATAACAGGAGTTACCTTACTGCCAACTAGTAGTTGTAGACACGGCGATAGCATGCAGGGAAGACTGAAGGTGAGATTAGCTACTACAGAGGTGGTTGTCTTGCAGGTCAAGAGGTATTTAGTTCCTCCGAGGATGTGGTTTAATGCAGTTACTCCAAACTAGGGCGTTCAAAACATAATGTAGATTCATAAGAGGCATCATTGCAGCAACTGAGCTCTCTACCTGCCCACACAGTGGACATGGGCAGCACAGGGTTCTTACATAATGCTCTCAGATGATGCTGTATTTGGTTGTGGTCACACTGTAAGGGAGACGGAACAAAAGCCCAGACAAACATCCATATGCAGTTTCTCAACATTAGCTGCAAGAGCATTGTGTCAGTTCATGCATGAAAGTTTTCTTAAGGCTTCCTCTGGCACTAGCTACTGCTTGAGGCAGGAAGATTCTCCTCACAGGTGCAGCCACAGGATTTGTTTTTTACAGCAGTGTCTGGGTGTTGTCCTACTTCTTGTTTCTGTTCCTGTCCCCCCATCTGCCAGATAAATTATGCCCTTACACATTTTAATACTGAATAGGTATGAACACATTTGAATTAGATTTCTTACTCTTTTGTATACACACTGTTTAGCTTCTCTTGAGAATGCACTTCAATCCAACATGGAAACTGGTACTTAGAAACAAGTAAGACCACCACCTCTTCCTCTCATGAAGTTTAACTTCATTATGTTAGAAGATCTGAGCTCTGCTGAAAACAAGAAGTTCTCCCTAACTGTACATGCAAAACATTGGCATTGAAATAAGCCTTGGTAGGAAAACAGCTGCTGCCTAATACAGCACTCTGCGACTTATTTTCATGAGGAAATACTGACTATTGGTATTTTCAGGTGACTTTCCAGAGCCCAGTGAGAATCTGAACAAAGAAAATCTCTTACCCCTCCACATCTTCTTGGTCAGGGCTGAAAGCCCTGTTTCCCTTAGGAGGGCATATTTAAGCATGTGTTTATCAGATGCTTTATCTGCTTCCTTGTTCTCCCCAGCTGCATTTTACAGTTCTATCTGTGCCTGCTTGATTGTATCAGCATAAAGATACCAGTGTCTCCAGGATGCAGCTTTACATGTGCTACCAGCATTGCTAATGCTGAGATCACTGATACTCTGAAGTCACAAGGGTTTTTTTAGAATAGGATCATTGTCACACATCTCTGGCTCTGCAAGGCCATAACCAGCACATCGTATGTTGATAAGATTAAAAAGCCTCACCACACACACAACAGCAGCAGCCACAGATCTGGCAGAGCTGTACTTCATCTCAAAAGCAGCCAGCAGGCTGGAAAACACAGCATTGACTCGCTTCTTCTCAGGTGGGCAAAATAGTCAGGCAGATGAAGATCAAGCAATAGAAACCTTGACTTGATGAAGAAGACTTTGCCACATGTATTAGCAATAGAAAGACTATATACAGTGTATTTTCCTGCTTTGTGGTCACCTGTTGTACATTGCCATGCCTTATGCTCATACTGCAGACTTCTATTAACATGCTTTCTCTCTGCTATTTTAAAACTCTGTAAGAATTTGACACTTTAGAGCTCTGTCAAATTTTGTGGAAACTTGCTGCCAATTTAATAAGTTAACAGTAACAAAGCACATGTTCTACCCCATTTCTAAATGAAATTAGACCATTTCTTGCCTTATAACTGTATTGGCAAACAAAGTATTCCATAGCTCTTTACAAAATATACCTGTATTTTAAGTGAATTATTAATCTTAGCTTTCTCTTAACTCTGTATGAAAAAGCCATGTAAGTCTGCCTTCTGCATTTCATTGATCTTAAAAGTGCATGCCACCCTTGCCAAATAAAAGTACATAAATTACTGTACACAATGTGATGTGCACATTATATTTTGTGTGTTGTCAAAGATCCATAAGGAGTTAATTTTGTCAAGAGAAAACATGGTCACTTAATATTTTTTGAGGCAAGACTGCCTTGCATCTTCTTCAAAAGTTTCCAAAGTCTTCAGTCTTAGATGAGTGTTGAAAGAGAAGGAACTCAGTACACAAAACTTTCAGATACTGTGAATAATCTGTTCTGCCTATGCCTTGTACTTGGTTTGCCTTTGCTGAATTTGAGAAGTGTTTTTAGTGTAAGGTTAAATACTTGAATAGTTGTTTCTATGGCAAATTCTGAAATGCTGTTAAGCATCAGCTGGAAACAGGTCCTCACCAGGGTCCATGGGAACTAGCATGGCGACAGGAAATCCAAGTTCACACATTCCACACTCCATTTCATGCTAGAAATTGCATAGCATTATTAAAAAACAAAGCTCCTATATAAACCTGGCAACATATTTACTCTAAAGATGAATACTGACACAGCCCGTATTTACTGCAGCTGTTTATTGTAGCACATTTACAATGTGTAAGCATTCAGACAGAACGTGTTTAGTGTCCTCTACAGCATTATACATTGTCACACTCAGCTACAGCAATGTTGCTCACAAATGCAAGTTCTCTAAAATATGCTTCCCTTTAGTATTCTATTCTGCTCCCAGAGTGAATAGACTATAGAAAATAAGGCATCCATTAAATAGTATCACAATCAACAAAGAATATAAACTAAGTTGTCAAAACTGAACTTTTATAAGAGCTAATGTTTCATCCAGCCACTGACAGTAGCAGGTTATTAGGTTGCTAGGAAACATCCAGTTTCTAAAGCGTGGAGAGATATGACTCACAGAGACATATCTCCTGTGTCCTTAACTCAGTTTAGACTTCAGGTTTACAGACTTGTATTCCAGAGGAAGATTTCAAATTTTTTAAAAAATAGGTTTTTTGAAAGGGTTTTTGTCTGATTTTTCCTTTAAAAACATAAGATCCAAACACTGTTAAGCTGAAGACTGTAACTGACTCTGCCCAGTGCTTGATACATGAGAACATTTCTCCATTCAGCTCATCCCTGAAATTTCAGTTCAGCCTGGCATATCCCAGCCTCTCTGAGAACAGATTGCCACTTACATCCAGTGGTACTTGTGTTTAAAGAAATATTTATTTTATGCTTTCAGCTATATTTGAGTGGTTTGTGTATCAACTCAGAAACAAATTATACCAAATTTCATAGTATTTATTTTTACTGTGACTGCAAATAAACAAAAAATGCTGAAGGATCTAGTGAGTTTTTATTCCTTCAGTAGCAGGTCAGCCACAGACAGATAACGCCTGCAGTACTGAGGGCTAGGTTGGTGTTCAAAGCTGAAGTTGTCCAGCACTAGTTCTACTTATAGTTGAAAGTTACTACATTTATATTCTACTCTTATAATCTAACCAAGTCTCTGAACACAGGCAGGTTTTTACGCCCTTTGCATTCTAGCACAATTTAACTAAAGAATCAAAAGAATAAATCTACTAAAAACCATCCCCAAACCCCCTGAACTAGCAGTGAATGTCTAAACAAAAGTCTGTAAGTTTAGCATAAACTTCTGCCATAGGCTTACACTGTTTCTTGAGAAAAGCAAATTAAGTCTTCAGAAATAGGGTTTTCCACCAGCTCCATTGTCAAGTTCTTGCAATGTGTGCTGTTTTAAAGCCTCCATTATACACTCCCAGAATCCATTAAATATGTCCACTACAACCTGTACAAGAGAGGAGGGGGAAGCTGTCAGGTACCTGCATCAAAATAATAGTTTCACTGTACAAGGAGCCTTAAAAATGCAACTGAACTATTAATAATTTGACATCCATTGACAAGAAACTGCTGTGAACCACCAGAAAACATTCTGAATACAAGACTGCTCTCCTAGATGCTTGATCCCCACTGCACAGTCAGTAGGAAAATTATTACATCCCCACCCTGACCCATCTTATGCTGGCTTTCTTGCCTGGTTAAACTGAGAGGTGTGTGCAGAAAAGGAAATATCAATATGTCCATGCCCTTTACCCAGGAGCAAGATGCCCTGCTCTGCTTCATCCCACACTTTTATCTCCAGTAAGACACTCGGTCAGAACAGAGGGGGGCTCACAGCAGGCTCTGTCATCTCCTTGCTCCAAAATACATCCCCATCTCCTCTGTCTCATAAATACATTCTATCAGGCATATAACAACACAGCTCACCAGGAAAGCCTATTACCAAGGAGTTGCACCTTTGATCTTTTTAATCAAGAGGCAAATATTTTTCAGCTCCCCCACCGAAAGGCTCTCCAGCAAGGAAGACTCAGACTTGCTGCCAGCCAGGTTAAATATAAACCATGTATCCTGCAATCAGTATTCCTGAAGAAACACAACTTCAAATAACTGAAGCATTTTCCCTCCATAATGGAAGTTAGGCAATGTTTTCCAAGTGCTGTGGTAGTATCTTAAACTACATGCTGTCTTAAAACCTTGACAAGCTGATTTTCTCCCCAAGTTTCAGGCCTGTTACCTGCACAAGGTGTGATTAAAAAGTGAATAGAGAACTCCTTCAGTGTTCTCTTAAGTCCTGCCTATTGCAGTGAGTACAGGAAATGTTAATGCTTGCACATTACACCTATGGGGTTCCCAAGTTACTGTATATATTATCTTTCTGTATAATTTTTCACATTGAGTCTTAATTTGGAAGTCCCCTCACATTTTCTAAGAAAATTGTTGGCTGTAGACATTTTGCTGAAGTGCTCTGTTCATTAGAAATAGTTTGGGATTTTTGTGTGGGTTTCCCCCATGCACACAACTTCCCCCAAAATCTAAGTACTTTTCACAAACATTGTACCA